CACATTTCTGATTGCAAAAGCTGTAGCATGAAGTTGCCTGGTTTGCTTTCAGACTCTGTGTAAACAGAGTCATTGTCTGTAATCTTGCTTCCCCTCGATTTTGAGCGCATGCACTTTTAAAGTTCGCCATGGTGCAACAGAGACTTCTCCTTTCACGTTCGTTCTTTTGTGGCTTTCCTTCATCTGAGAAAATCTCACATAACTTGGACTGGCCTCAAACTCATTGTGTAGCTGATGACAGGCCTGAGTTCTGCCTCCTCCTTCCGAGGGGTAGGGTTACAGGCTGGTCCCACAACTCCAGCCTCTCATTTTGTATTCTTGACCCTCAGGAAAATTTCAAGGCTTGATCATTTCTCATCCTGGAAATTTTTCTCTGTGATGGTCATCTTGTGGCATTTCCCTGTCTTCCTGTTTTCATTCTAGAGCCTTTGCCTCCACTCACCTTAAAAGTGATTTATTCGGGGAGGGGTTGTGGGAGGAGGGGAGGGAGAGGGAACTGGGATAGACATGTAAAACAATCTATTTAAAATTAAAATAATAATAAAAAAGTGATTTATTCATCAACGTCTGGTTGTAAGCAGTTTTAGTGAAACCCCTGGCTTATTTCTGTCTGCATCCTGATGATTCCTGATTATTTATTTATGCCCGTATATATGTCCTAGAAGTCTCTGTGCTTAAAACTTAGCATTCAACGTGACCCCACCATTTCTTCTTTTACAACTCCAAACTTCAATAGTCTCAGACTGAACAAACATTTCCCCCTCCTTCCAACTGTTCTTTCCCGAATCTGGTTCTGTAGTGCTGGCTCCAAGGGTGGGCATAATGCTGATACTGGTTATAAATGGGCTGGGGGTAGATCTGGGCAGTGAAGGGTGTTGGTGGTGTGTATAGGGGCAGGATTGTAGGGGCCATAGCTCCCACAGTTGCGTGCAGGTGATGGTGGAGGTGGAGTCAGTGGGGCTGTGTAGCCCTGGGCGAAGCCTTGGGAGTTACAGGGCAGCTGGCTATAAACAGGCTGTGGAGGGCTGTAGCTGCTCACTGGTATTGGCGCTGGAGCCAGGGACGTTGCTGTTTCTATTGTAGCTGCTGGCCCCTGGGGGATTCCCAGCCGGGTGTCGCAGTGTCTGCTGTGGTGGTGGTTGTGGTGGTGGTAGCTGTTGTGGTAGTGGCTCTGAAACACACAACCAGCTAGTTCTCACAGTGCTGAGAAGTCAGTCAAAATTGGCATTTATCACTCACTATGCCAGAGAGCCCCTGGCGCAGTCCTGTCGTTTCAGTCCTAGTAGGCCAGGTGACTGTCGTCCACCTCCCATGCTCAGCTTTGCCAGTATCCAAACCCAAGTCAGTACTGTCTCTTGCATACTTTTTAGCCTTCCAACTAACAATTAAGGAGATTGTTTAATTAAACTTAGTAAGATTAAACTGTACTTAGAAAGTCTGCATTGGTTTATAGTACACAGAAGACAGATCCACATTTTCCTTAAATACGATTAAAACAGGGTTGAAAGTTAAACAATTATATCTATCATGGCTCCACATAAGATAGAATGATTAGTGTAGTATAAACTAGAAGGAAAAAAAATATTGGGTCCAACATTTTGTAATAAAACAGGTATTTAATGAGTGATATACTAAAATATGATCCATTTTGTCTAATACACAAGTATACAGTCATGTGATTTTGTATGCCTGTATGAATTTTAATTAGAGTATATAAAATTATTTCCTATGTATACAGACAATAAAGCTGAAAAATGGCCAAAAATGGTATGTATTGTTAGAGGTAAACATTTTTGAAAACAGGGAGATAATGGCATCATTTCTAGAAAGTTCCAAATGATACGAGGCAAATTAAAACAACTAGAAGAGGAAGCTTAGTTCTAGAAGGAACTGTGAGGGATCATCTCAGTTTGTGTTCACGGCAAAGGGAGAACCATCACTTTTTGAAACTATTTTTCCCAGGTCTGAGGAAAAAGCAGGGTACATATAAAGAGTCCAAATCTTGGAAGGCGGCAAGAGAGAGACGTTAATATCCTTTCTCCTACAAGCTTGCTGTTCACATTGGCCCATGGTCATCTTTACTTTGCTAACACTGGTGTTCTCATCCTCCTAAAACTGTAACAACTACAACACAACTTCTGTACTGAAGGCTCAGAGAAGAATGCAGAAGAAAAGGGCAAAAGGAATTTTAAGAGCCAGAAGAACAGGAAGTGAGATGGTGTCTCCTAGAAATGTCAGAGAAGCCACATCCATGATGTCTCATCAACATGGATGCCTAATCAAGATGGTTAGGAATAAAGAATAATGGGTTGGAACTGTAGGTGGCAGCTTTGGGACAGTGGGTGGATGGGAAACAGAGACCAGTAGACATGAGTCATATTGATAGTTTTATTGAGGGGGAGGTAAGGAAAGAAGTTAAAGAGACACAGACACAGAGAGAGGACAGAAGAGAAGAGGGAGACAGGAAAAGTCCTGTCTCCTCCCGGGGAACAGTGGGAAAGAGAGAGCATAAATGGGCAGGGGTCTTTCTTTTAAAGGGATCTTTTGTACCTGTACTCAGACGACTTAGTGCATTCTGCCAGGTGACATAGGCAGGCCAGCATAATGCCTGGATTCTACAAAGACAGCACCAATAGACATTGTAGTAGGTGGCCGGGGGATTGCATGGGGCCCCACCCTTAGACAAAGAACTATAGGAAAGTGTGGAATGCCCAGAGAATGGGAAATATTCTTCTTCAGGAAAGAGATGCCCCCAATTGTTTAGCCAATACTGTCATCAGCCTTGAAATCATATTCATCAGAGAATATTATACAGACTGAGCAGGTTCTATTTATATATTTAGGAATGTGTATGTGTGTGACTGCAATTAAGGCAATAGAAGCCATCACTTTGAGAGAGAGTTTGGGGTAAATTGAAAGGATTGGTCCAAAAGTGGGGGAAATGATGTGACTATATTTTAACATCAAAAATAAGAAAAAATTAAAATATAACTAATAGGGTTTCTGTATCATGACAAGAGGTTTCTCTGCTGACACAGTAAGCCAGATCAAGCAAAACTGAAAAAGTAAAAGAACAGGTTTGTTTGAGGAAAGCGATTCCCAGGTGAGTTGAATCATGTGCCTGGATGAAAGCTGGGAGGTTTTATAGCCTGTGGGTGAAGGGTGGGGTTTGGAGGCAGAGAAATGGGGCTTCTCAGACCATGCAGGAGCAAGCTGGAGGTTCCAACTGAACAATAGCGAGCAATAACGCGGTGTGCACACACAATTCGGAACACAACAGATTCAGATCACAGTCATGGTTTTGCCACTTGCACACTGAATAATCTTGGGTGAATCATTACATCACCAACTCAGTAAGAAAATGGCTCATCTATCCTGAAGATTACACTAGGTACATAGAGTGTGTGGTGTACACACTCTAGGAAGAAACAAAGCAATAATAACACCAAGACTGAGGCAGGTGCTACTCATGCTGAGTCAGGGCTAAAGATAATGAGCATCCCAAGGGTAGAAATTAGACCATGTTCTCCCAAGGGTTTTATGGACTCCCCTTTATCCCTCTGGTACCAAGGATGGGTTTCTAGGTAACCACTGGCTAAGGATCACCTAAGAATACATCCACCCTAAAGAAGTCTTATTATTAAAATGCCATGTAGATCGACCATTTTGTTTCTTTTTCTCAGAATAAACACCAAAACTTTGGATTTTTGCCTTATTTTCATAGTTAACATTTTCTAAGTTCCAGGGTATAGGGAAGCAGTGGTTTCTACATGGTGAAATAAACTTCATTGAGTCTATATAAATTCAGCCATTGCATTTATGTCTGCACTCATGTTTTTATTCTTTTCCTTATGGACCTTGAAAATGACATATGCTTAGACCAACAGAAATTGAAGATAATGACAACAGGGCTGCTGAGATGGCTTATCAGGTAAGGGTGTGAACCACTGAGTCTGGCAGCCTGAACAGAAAATTAACCCTTACCCATTGTCCTCTGATTTACACACAGAGACCAAGTAACATAAAGAATCACAACAATAAAGCATTGATTTAATTGAGAACTAAAATAAAAATTGCAGAGTTCTGGTTTGCCAGTACTGATCATATTAAAGATAATCTTGAATGAAGCATTTATTGTCTCTAGATTTCAAATTTCTTCTTAGTAATACGATTACAATTGATTGTAATATCAAAATTCTAGGATTATAAACATATGCCTATAGGAAATATGTATGCAACATATATGCCATTTGTATAACCTCACACACATCTACATGCGAATTTCAAATTTTCATGAAAGAGCAGATTATAATCCAGGTGTCTGGAACCGTTCATAGGGAAGGTCTGGTCTTCCGATGATAGTTGTTCATCCATCCAAGACCAATGAGAAGAAAAACTGTAAAATGCAAATTCTCAGGCCCTGCCAGGTGCTCATGGCATCAGGAGCTCTGGGGGAGGGGTCAGCATCTGGGCTGCAGCCTCTCCTCCTGGAGACTCTTGATAAACAGGAAGCTGTGAGAACCACTCCACAGGCACACTCCAGGGAAGAACCATCAGTACCAGCAGTCAGTCACTGAAGGGGAAAATGGCAGGTCCCCTACCAAGAGCTCCCATAGGTGGGTTAGACATGCAGCAGGGAGCAGGAGGATTTTACAGCAGCAGGGACGGGCAAGGGTGCAGACAACGGAGCAGGAGGGCAATGGCCCAGGTTAAATTACTCTTTCCCCATATGTCAGGAATGGCTGGCTTTAAAGGCTTTTTCCCTGGAGTGCATCATAACAGAAGGTATGCACCCTCTATTCTGAGACACAGCTACTGGCACCCCAGCCGCCAGAGTTCTTGATGGTAGAAATCTAAGACAGAAACAGTTTCTCAGGGTGATCTTGCATGTCTTTTTCGGGCCCTTTCCACGCCTTTTTTTTTTTTTTTTTTTTTTTTTTTTGGCTTTATGAGACAGGGTTTCTCTGTATTGTTTTGGAGGCTGTCGGTCCAGCCTGGCCTCGAACTCACAGACATCCGCCTGTCTCTGCCTCCCGAGTGCTGGGATTAAAGGCGTGCGCCACCACCGCCCAGCCACGCTTTTTCTTTTAACTTCACCCCTCACTGGTAGCTAAAAGGAGGTGTGTGTTCAGGGAAAGGAGAACATTCTTGGAGTTTCTCTGAGCTAAAGCTGAGCTTGTCTAGAGAAAGCCGCAGGGGTGAGAATGAGCCTATGGAAACGACAAGGCAAGAACTCAGCATGGACACTCTTCAGGAGGTTTATAGAGGCTGTGTTGTCATCCAGGACATTTCCCTGGGAGGGAAATCCCCGGCTTTGCAACTTCCTGGCCAGTGTGAGGGCCACCAGTCGGCTGTAACCTTTCCTGCGATGGTCAGGTAGGGTGTAGCCATGGCACATGGTGGCAAACTGGTCTGTGATACCCCAGGACACCGGGTTTCCCTTCTCATCACGCACACACACGCTGGGAAAGCAGGCGATGAGTTTGGCTATGTACCGCAGGCACTGCTGATTGCCACCACGTGACCAGGTCCGGTTGAGGAGATCAGCCTCTGAGACACTCAGGTAGGTAAGTCTCGGGAAAGGTCCAGTTCTAGAAGAAAAAAAAAATATTTGGGTCCTCACAGTCACGCTCGTACTGATTTAAAATCGAAATCATCTCTGAGACTATGTCTGGCTTTTTCTAGAATTTAGAACCTAAACGCTTCCCACTTGAAAGACGAATCATTTCATGCCAAATTTAGTTTTATGCCTACTTGTGAGCTCTGCAGACCGCAGTGTGACCCATCCTGCTGCTGCATGTTCACTCTCTGGAAGAGGGAGCACAACTTAATTTGGGCTTGGGTTGCTTTCGCAGGGATGTAGAAGGATACCCAACTCTTAGGGTTCAGCGTGTTAGGAGCAGGCAGCTGACCGAACTCATCCCCCAAGGAGGCAGGCATCTAGCTGATGCAAATCATGTGATTCCCTGGTTTGCACCCACATGTGTCCCACTTGCTATCACCTGGATGGGTGGAATGTTGGAACCTCCTTTGATTTTGAGTGTTGACAGATTTTTGAATCATACCTTGTACAAATAAGCTAGGCTACAGTTAACACACACACACACACACACACACACACACACATGCTTATTTATCTATTATTATTATGGCTTTCACCCAGATTGTCCTTAAAATACTTTTGTGAAGTCTTAGTCCAGATTTTGTTTGAGCCCCGATATTTTGAGACTAAGTGGTATTCTAGCATTCAGGATCCTTCTGCCTTACATAGTCCTGGCCAGAAAATGAACGTAAGTTTCTATGCATATATACATTCTCTGGGAGAATTAGCTTTGACAGGCTTTCCCTCTGCTGCTCCTCTCTGGATTGAATATTCTCAGTTTTTCACTGGCCAAGTTTTGCAGGCCACTAGCTTTTATTTATTTTAAACTTTTTATAGAAGTGTCTAGTAATTGAAAATGTAAAAGCCCTGAAACAAGGGGCTGGGCTGGAGAGATGGTTCAGTAGTTAAGAGCACTGGCTGCTCTTCCAGAGGTTGTGAGTTCAACTCCTGGCAACCACATGTAATGGGATCTGATACCCTCTTCTGGCGCGCGCGCGCGCGCGCACACACACACACACACACACAGAGAATAAAACTCCTACACATAAACAAATTAAATAAAAGAACTGAAACAAATGATAGCCCATGAGGCTGAGTGGGACTTGAAATTTGCTACCATTGTGAATTTGTCAATACTCCCTAATCTACTGACTAGTAAAAACTCATATTGTAGCCTTGATATGGTTTTATAAATGTATCTAATTCTGCCATTCACCTTTCTTACTTGGCTGTCAGATGGAGCACTGGCCAATCTTGTATTCAGGAGGGAAATTTGTCAGTTCAACTTTGAAAGAATACTTGAAAGAAAGCAGAAACCTCAAGAGCAAATATTATTGCAAGCAGAAACATTGCCAAAGCCAGCACTTCAGGCACAGCATGCTACACATTCATTTAAAATACCGTCCACAATTTGAGTATGGCTTCGGGTTTAAAGACAAAATGTCAGTACTCTGAGAGATCACCAGAACAAGTCCCTCAACATTAGAATGAACCCAGATATTTTGAAGAACATACAGAAGTATAGGGGAAATTGCAAAAATAGGATTACATCAAGCTAAAATCATCCAGAAGGCAGCTGCGCTCAGTATTATACTACCAACACACCATGGTAAAAGACTGTGGACACCAAAAGAAACAAAACAATCTTGGGAAACCCTAAAGAATGAGTGAAAGCACTTGAAAATTATACTTGTGGGACATGCAATGTGCATTGTTCCTGACAGTCTCTTGGGTCCCGCTATATACAAGACACTATATTGATTATGAAGCTGTTGACAGTTTGCTTTGATTTCTTATCAGCTAGTTCTGACTTAATTATTAACCCATAACTGCTAATCTGAGTATTTCCATGTGATCTTCTCTTACCAGAGAAAGGGTCCAGACCTCTTACTTCTCCCATGTCCTACATCGTGACTTATTGTGCTTATGTTTCCCAGAATCCTCCTCTATTCCTAGTCCCACCTATCTTGCTTCCCTATTGACCAACAGTGCTTTATTCATTAACCAAAGAGAGACATATACACAGAAGGACTTCCCCAATCAGTGAGGCATCTAATATCCGAATAAAATGAAAGAAACTCAATGTGGATAAAACCAAATAACCCAATTTAGGTGGGCCTGCAGAGACATTTTAAAAAATAAGATATACAAATGGCTAAGAGGCATTAAAAAAACTGCAAATCAAGCATACAATGAAACATTCCCTCACTACAGTTAGACAGACTGTAGTCCAAAAGTCAAAAGGTAACAAGGGGTAAAGAGGATGGGAAAAGTCAACTCTATACAGCACCAGGAGAAAGATAAATTAGTATAGCTACTAAGGAAAACAGTGTGGAGATGCCTCCAAAAATTGAAATTAGAACTGTAATATGGTCAAGAAATCCTATTCCCGAGTACCTCAACGTAGTGAAATCAGTCACTAGTGACCACAGCATGTTCACAATAAGCAAGACATGGATTCATGTTAAGCATTTACAATGTGGCATATATATATATAATGAAATAGTGTTCATCCTTAAAAAAAGATTCAACCTTATCATCAGTAAAAACATGATGGGATTGTTATTATATTAATCAAGATAAGCCAAGTGCAGAAAGATAAAAAGGACATGATCTCACTCACATGAAAATTCTAAAATCATAATTTCCAGAAACCAGTGACGAGGTGAGGCTAGCGAAAGCAAGTTGCAGGGTGGCATTGAGGATTGATTTTTCTTTTAAGAATCTTTGTCTTACCTAGGAATTGGGACACATAGCCTTAATGACAGCAACTGGGAAGCAGAGACAGGTAGATCTCTGAGTTTGAGAGCAGCCTGATCTATACAGAAAGTTTTGGGACAGCCAGGTTGGCACAGAGAAATCCTGTGTCCACCTCCCCTCCAAAAAGTCCTTGTTGTTTTAGGCATACATCTTAAATTAGATTAAGGATTAAGTGTATGATATTCTGTTTCAATTAATTGAATAGATGTGTAGCATTCATAAGCTATAGTTCTCACGATGCTATGTGGAAGACTGCCCTGTGTGGGGAAAGGTCACAGGGTATATGTGAACAATTATCCCAGCCCTGGGGGAGGGTTTTCTTTCAATATTTGCAAGTGCTTGAAGTTTCCACGGTGAGAAAATATCCAATAAAATATCCTGGTGATTTCCTGGGAATTTCTGTGAATTTAGTTTTAGTCTGTGATTAACAAGTCCTCCAACACTAAGTATAGGAGCAGAAAAACTAAGATGCATGGTCATGGGTGTTTTTTAATCAACCTTGTTTCATTCTTTAAAAAAAAACACTTGAAAAAGGTACTGCATCCTAATTCTTTTTAATTTACTTAACTTTTCAAAAGAAAGTGTGTGTGTGTGTGTGTGTGTGTGTGTGTGTGTGTGTGTGTGTGTGTTTGCACATGTCAACATAAGGTGTCTTCTTCAATTGTTCTTCACTTTTTTTTGAGACAGAGTCTCTCAATGAACCCAAGCAGACTAATTCAGCTTGACTGGATGAGACTAGCAAGCCTCAGAGAGGTTCTTATTTGCTCCAGAGCAACAGTGGTTTGCTGCCACAATCAACTTTTAAGTGGGTGCTGGGATTTCAAACTTAGGTATTTGAGCTGTCTGTCTCTCCAGCTCCTAGACCCCAATTCTTGAGAAGAGATTAAGGTCTAGGAAGCATAAGCTAAAAGGAAGATGCTAATGATGCAAGACCTCCACAAAAGAAAGAAGAGGCAATGCAGACACACAATGACAGTGTTTTCAAGGACCACCTTCTCAAGCTGGACTTCCTGTGACCAGTTCTTGGCCTCAGAACTCACTTGTGTGTTTTATTTCAACTATGTTCAAAATGGAATCATGATGGTTCTACTGTAGAGGACAGACAATCAGGCCAGGCGTTGGTGGCACATGCCTTTAATCCCAGCACTCAGGAGGCAGAAGCAGAGGGAGGTGGATCTCTATGAGTTTGAGGCCAGCCTGGTCTACAGAGGGAGTTCCAGGACAGCCTCCAAAACAATACAGAGAAACCCTGTCTCAAAAAACCAAAATGAAAAAAAGACAGACAGAAAGAGAGAGGAATATATTTAAATCATTTAGTCCTGTGTCCTTAAAAACTCAACATAAATCAGTTATACACCTCTAACTTTAAACAACATAAACTTCAACAACCCTAGACTCAGACCGCAGGGATTATTATTTAGAATTATATCACAAAGGAGGGAACCAAGAAATGGCTTTTCTATGTATACTATATACACTATGAAAATGCAGCTTTTATGAGCTCACTGACTATAGACAAAGACACTAATTTGATTTTCAGAAAAATAATGAGCATATTCTAACATTGTTGTTGGGACTTGCATAATAGTAAATCCAGCCCCAAGTGTAGTACTTGTTTTACATACAGGAAATTGTGGTCTGGTACAGATGAAACCGGAGGAAAATGGACAGCTTTGAAGGAGGCCAGCTTTATATCCAAATCCAATAGCTTTGCATTGGCAACAGCTTTGGAAACAGCATATAATTCACTTTGCAGGCCTGGATAACGAAAGACAAAAAACCACAGTCATTTATTTCAGCATTTGTATGCTAAATGTCATCAATGCCATGGTTGGATACCCTGTCATGTTGTAACCACGATATAGTTAGTTACATATGTATTACTAAAGGTACCCTCTACCTGATCTACAAATGAAATCACGTTGTCATCACCAGTCATGGTCTTCCACTTTTGCTGGAAATATCTCAGGGGAGTTTGGAATTTCTTACTGGAAGTCTTATTCGTTAATGTTCTTAATGCCTTGGATTAAATTTCTTGAAGAGAATTGTCTCGTCTTTACTTATAGCTTTAAAATGAACAATCAGCTGTTTGCAAAAGTTTGGATTTATTTGGTACCAGTGATGGTTAGCTTCAACTTGACAACATAGACTCACTTGGGGAAAGAGTCTCACTAAGGACTGACTACCTTGGGGTTAGCCTGTCGGGAGGTCTGTGCCGTATTATCTTAATAAGTTAACTGATGTGGGGAGAACCAGGCCACTATGGGTGGCACCATTCAGCAGGCCTCGTGCCTAAACCATTTAAGAGTAGAGAAATGTAACTGAGTGCAAGCAGCTAAGTAAGTGAGCATGTATGTGCATACATTTGCTTCTCCATTCTTGACTATGGATGCAATGTTGGAAGTTAGTGCACTGACTTTCTTCCAGGGATGGATGAGGACCTGGAGTTGTAAACTGAAATAAACTCCCCTTTCCCCTGAATTACTTTTTCTCATTGTTTTTATCATCTACAGAAATGAGTCTAGAACACAAGGAAACTAAAGTTTCTTGTCCATTTCCACAATGCCCTCATGGTAGCCTGGGCTTGGAAGCTTGAGCTCAGTTAACCAACACAGGTTCCAGTCATTTCTCACAGCCACACTACATTATTTATACCCTTCGTTTGATTATTTATTTCGGGGTGCTCTGGGAACTATTCCCCCCACCCCAGTGGATAAAATTGTGGTTTGGCTACAGCATTACACTTCTCTCTAAGACCCTATATTCTAGCCTTTGCAATCTGACTCTTGGTGCACAGAATCCCCTGTAACTTGGCTTTGTCTCTTCTTGACCCATTATTCAAGCAGGCAACATTTCTGTTTTCCTACCCATTGTGAGCTACTTCCCAGTATGTCCTTGAGGCTACAATTGAGTGAGAAGGCATGTTGAACACTGTGTGATAGCTGAACCTTGAGACCTTCCTCTGGGAGCTAAGCCTCAGTAAGGACTAGGATGTTTACAAGTTAATGCTACTAAGATTACAGCTGTAATAGTTCGTATCCCTTATTACAAGACTGAGTTGTATACCTAAGTAGTCAAAAGGTTTGCATTCTCTTTCTTTTGAAACGGTGTGCTTTATAGTGACTTAGGCAGGCCTTAAACTGGGATCCTTTTGCCTCTACCTCACAAACACTGGGATTACAAGTAGGTGTCCAGATACCCAACACTAAAAAAATTGTCACAAGAGAAAAATAAGTGGTAAAGGTCAAAGGCAACATACACACTCCAGTATAGGAATAGTTACTGTATAAAACTCAAGTATATGTTAAGTATATGGACTTGTCTCTAATTGTCTAGATCTATATACTGTACATGTATGTAATATCTTTTTGTTTGTTTGTTTGTTTGTTTTGTTTTTCGAGACAGGGTTCAGTGTTTCTCTGTGGCTATGGAGGCTGTCCTGGAACTCACTTTGTAGACCAGACTGGCCTCAAACTCACAGAGATCCGCCTGCCTCTGCCTCCCGAGTGCTGGGATTAAAGGCGTGCGTCACCAACGCCTGGCTGTATGTAATATCTTGAGAGAGAGAGAGAGAGAGAGAGAGAGAGAGAGAGAGAGAGAGAGAGAGAGAGAGAGAGAGAGAGAGAGAGAGAGAGAGAGAGAGGAACACATGAGCACACTGACTTCAGAGGCAGAAGATGGTGTCAAATCCCGTGGAGCTGAAGTCACAGGTGGCTGTGTGCTGCCTAACACTCACATGGGTGCTGGAAACTGAACTCTGATCTTCTGGAAGAACAGTTAAGAACCTTAACAACTGAGCTTTCTCCCCAGTTTCCATGATAGGTTTTTCTATACATCTCTGGTGTACATGATAAAGGAAAATATGAGTATATAATGTATGATTTGAACTTGACCTTACCTTGTATTTGAAAAACTTGGTCCCAGTTAATAACATCACCATCTTCCAATAGCTGTTGGTAAGCTCTGACGTCTTTGTAGAACACAGCATATGCATTGGTGTAATGGTCAAGGTTATCTGTCTCAGCCTAGGGAAGAAGACATAGTCATTGATACAACACGTAACCAAACATGTATTCTGTGTAATCGATGCCCTAGAAAGATTAACTATTATTACTATCTAGCTAATTTTCAATTGCTTTAATTAGTTACCTGGAAACAGAGAAACAGGAATGAGGCTAGTATACTATAGTGAGGAAAATGCAGATTTTGTGATTTTTTTCTTGATTCTTTCTTCCAGAATTAACGAAGTTTTAAGACCTTCCAGACTTTTTAGTGTTTGCTTTACAAAAACAAAGACTGTAGTGTCCAGCAACTGCAGCCTCAACCGAGACACTGTTGGGAGGCTGAGGCAAGAGGATTGCTTGCTTCTAAGAGGCTAGCCTGAGGATTACAGACTCCACCTCAGACAAAGACAACAGCAGCAAATGATGACGAAGAAGGTGGCTACAAATGTAACTCGGGTAGCAGAGCAGCTGCCCGGCATAGGCCAGACTCTGGTCTTCTAGTTTGTTCTCTGTAGCTATGAGAAAACACTCCAGTCAAAAGACTTGGGGAAGCAGGGCATTGGTGGTGCATACCTTTAATCCTAGCACTCAGAAGGCAGAGGCAGGTGGATCTCTCTAAGTTTTATCCAGGCCAGTCTGTCCTACAAAGTGAGTTCCAGGACAGCCAGAACTGTTACACAGAGAAACCCTGCTTTGAAAAACAAAAAAACAAAACAAAACAAAACAAAAACAGGAAGAAAGAAAAGAAAAGAAACCCTACTAATGAAGGAGCTACTTTGTACGAATTGTGTGCTTCATCTTCTAGAGATTGTGAGGCACTAAGGGCGCACTTACAGACTAGCAGTCTTCCATATGCCTGAGACTCCAAAGGAGTCAACTACAAACCAGTGTCAAGATAATGTGCGCTACTACAGTGGTCATACTGTTCCCTTTATCTAATCCGTTCTTTGCAGTTGGTGCTAGTTTAACTTTTAACATTTCTGATTGGCTTTTCAGCACTGTACCTCTCTCCGTCGCCGGGTGATGACAGCTTTGAAGTCTGGCCATGAGTCCAATACTACTTCCTTTTGAAAGGGATTCCCACGATTTATGTTCATCACTGCTCCATAAACCTGAGCCAAGGAACCAGAGACAAGACAACCATACCACTAGCTATTCTGGCTGGGTCAACTTCTTCCTTCTCTAATTTAAAATTACAGATACATTCATACACATATACACAATACAGATTTCTTAGAGTTACCAATTGAAAGACATTTATGGAAACTGATAAAGAACCTGTTAAATTCTGATGCCTTAGAACCCTGAAGAAGCTGAGAGAGTTTTCTTGGTGACTGAGCACCAGTTAATATGAGGGTGATATGAGAAGCTGTTCTGTAGTGTTCCCATCTATTTCCTTCATTACGAAAAATGACTGTCCTAACAACATCACTCACACACAGAACTGGTGAAAGTTGCAGCAAGGATTGCTGAGCTAATATTCATAGTATTTTCATCATCAACATCAAACAACAACAAACAGGAACCAACCTTAATGTCCATCAACTCAAAGGCAACTTCAATTCTCACAGCAGTCACAGTTTTACATTTACTATAATCCTCGATGTATGACATCTTTCACACTGTCACAGAATGATCAGCAGTCCCTCTTGGACTTTAGGTTGGAGGCTTGAGTGACCAGGAGGTAACAATCCTACATCTAGACCTTAATCCTCAAGTATATTCTTGCCTTCAGTGTCACCAAATCCACAATCTTCCATCATTTAAAACATTTTACTTCAAAAATAACATAGTCTGCCATTGCCCACATTCCCACACAGAGTCCTCTAGAGCAACAGAAGGATAACAGCAGCAGACTGGGAAACTAACATGTGCTTCTCAGAGAAGAGAAGGGACAGCCACACATCTGACATTATCTCCAAAATTAATACAACAGAGAGGCTTGCACTACCTTGAGTGATTCAGGAAAGTGACTCTTCAACATTTTCTCCAGTGTAAGCAATTTGGTGGAGCAGTTTAGCACCAGCATCGTCTCCAAAGTTATGTACTTCCGCACCTAACTAGAAAATTGAAGATAGACATTTAATTTTTCTGCCTCTCAACACTTGATCCTACTGGGGATATGCTTGGATGACATTTTCTTTTGGTATAATGCTAATTTTTCCTTTGAAGAGGATGGAGATGGAAAGTGGGGAGGCTGGGGATATGTGATGTGCAGTCTTCCCTCCAGCCTGGTTCCTGAGCCACATTAATCCCAAATGAACACGCAGGACACTATACTAATTATGAAGCTGTTGGCCATTTACTGTGGTTTCTTAATGGCTAACTCTGACTTAATTATTAACCCATAATTACTAATATATATTTTTATAAGGTCTTATCTTACCAAGGACACAGTCTCACGCGTCCTCTCTTCCTAGGATCACATGGCGATTCTCTACTCTTGACTACATTTCCCAGAATCCTCCTAGATTCCTAGTCCCACCTATCTTCCTTGCATATTGGACAACAGTGCTTTATTTATCAACCAACTGGACAAACATATACACATAAGAACTTCCCCCATTGAGGGGGGTGGTAAACCAGTGAATACATGGAAATGGAGATCACTAGACCTAGTCCTTTACAGGAGGGCTCCACATCCACTATATTCTGATCATCCCCAGCCAGGAACTTGTAAGCGTTGTGCTTTTACAGTTATGTATGTTTGTTTCAGTTAGCCGCAGATAGTTGGCAGGAAGAGGGGAAGGCCTTCCTGGTTTGTCATTTTCCTTACAATCACCTGCCATGTAAGTTCCATGTTATGCAAGAGAAATACAGACACCCATGGACCAATGGACACAGGGAGGAAAGAGAAATAACTGGGTTTGACACAATGAAAACCCCCAACTCCTTTAGAGCCCATGGTATTCCTAGCTTTGGAGGCCCCTCCTCTACTGGAGGAACTGTAATGCTTATCAACAAACATTACCCTTGTTTTGTCCTGAACTCTTTCCTGTATCTTAACTGAAGGATAAAATGAAATCAAATGCTAGCTATAACATTTCCTAGATGCTGTGAAATAATTTTCTGAACACAGGTAAATGCATCTATATCTGTATCTCTCTCTATCAAACAATGAAGTTGAAATTAAAATTCAGGCAAATGGAAAATAAGCTATAAAAGGAATGCAGTCAAGAGAAAGGACTATGGTCCTGCAAATCGAACCTTATTCCTGGATTCCATATGTGGTGACTGGCTGCCTTCTAACTAAGATTTATTTATAACTGCCGAACCAATGCTGGCAATGTTGTGGCAGTTATCTGTAGATGTGTAAAGAGCAACAAAAAGCTGTCTCCTGCCACATCTTTCCAGCTAAGTTCAACAGAGAACTTTATTATCCTATTTTATTTCTCATAATGTAAATGAGAGTCACTATTTAGTGCTATTTTCACTTAATTAAAAATATTTTTTCTTTCTTTTTTTGTTTTAGCAATTTTCTGTTTAAAATGTGAGGATGATCAATGGTGCAGTGCTTGGCCTTACAAGCGACAGCTATGTAACTCTCTCTAAGGCTCAGGGAGCATAGCAGAGGGGGTAGGAAGAAAGAGCCAGAGGGTGGGAGATGTGCTGAAAAGATCTTTCCTTGACATGACATGGCCATTGCACTCATGCTTGCTGTGGCTATCTGTATAAGATTAGACCTGTCAACATTTCATCATGGATAGGTGGTGAGAGGTTCCACATCTCTGAGATTGACTGTTGACAGTTAACAGGTGTTAAGGGAGTGTGTGTTATTTTCTTCAGTGATGTAACCATTAATGAGTGGCCCTTGCTCCAGTGAATAACCTCCCACCCATGTTCAAGGGAAGGGAACTTTAGTTAAATGCAGTGGCCTTGCACAATAGGAAGACATGAAGGGGAAGGGGACTTGTTTAAGAAGGGTTCCACTGAGAGCAGTGGGAAGCAGCTCAGCGGTATAGCTTTTGGCTTGGTAGTTGAGTTTCCCGGTTCAAGAAGGGTTCCACTGGAGAGGAAGGGTGAAATGAAATAAAGTTCACGCCATAAATATATGAAACCATTAAACAATTAAAAATGGTTCCCAGGCATAATGCACAGATACTGCTTAGATATCCCTAAGTGCAAGGAGGCTGTGATGTCTTGCAGGCAAAGCATGTTAGGCAAGCATTGTTCAAGCATGAGTTTTAGTGTTGCTGACCAGTTTGATGAGAGCCAATCAAAAACACATATTGGGTAAACAATGTCTTTAAACAACAAGAACAAAAGAAGTGAGGTCATGTATTACTTGTGAATGAAAACAGTCTTGTAGGAACCTACCCCTGTTCCAATAGATGCAATGTTTCAGTATCAACTAAATCAGCGTTCTACATGATGCTACAGACTGAAACGCCCCACAATGGGAAATAGGCTGGGAGCTCACATTAGACACTAAACTCTCCAGTAGTTAACACAGAGAGAAACAAACATGGCAATGTACTGCTTCAGTGCTCTATAAAATTACTTCATATTCTTTCCTGTCGCTTGCTTGTTTTTGCGTGCCTGCCATCTCTACACTGCAGTCCTGCTTTCTATATTCAAAACCTTCTATATTCAAAACCTTCCTGGACCAGCCTCCCTTCCAGGCTCAGCTCTTGCAACTGACAAATTACTCAGGTGAAAAATTAAAATCAGACACTTCCCTGGGCCTTACATACATGATACTAATTTTAACACACAAGGTGGGAAAATGCCTGTTCAATCAACAGTCATGAATTTCCTAAGTAACCTTCATTAAATGGTAAAATTACATTAATTCCACAAAATACAATATAGTAATTCCCACAGATGGAGAAAACACTTTTTATACATCACACACACACACACACACACACACACACACACACACACACACAGTGTTAAAGTTACCAGAATGTCATATTCTTCCTACTCCTCTATAGGTCCCCCCAAACCAGAATGTCTTCTAGAATTGGAAAGTAAAGATTTACAACCCATTTAAGTAAACTTCTAACAATACTCACACACACAAAGTCTTGACAAGAAAAATAAGTGCTTCAGGTTTTAAGAACTCGAGCTTTTTCAGGGATATTGTTTATCAACAGAGAAAAAGTACTTGGAAATTTTTATTAATTTGCCATACAATGGAAACACGACTCTCTTGGAAAATGGTTTTTATAAACAAGTAAAACATAATTTATTTCATGGTGGTGGTATGCCATTTATACCACAATGGCCATCATCTCTTTTTCTCTTTTTTTAAATTTTCAGGGGAGAGCACATATGAACACAGGCACCAGTACCATAAATTTTGCAAATCACTTTCCCAAATTTGCAGAAATTGCAGAGTCACTACTTGTCGGATAATCATTGGAGCCCTGCCCTGGGAAAACTCCCTTCCTTATTACTGTATCTCCCATCTCCCGTTTTTTCTGCTGCCAGTAAGCTTTAAACTGTATTTAAATTAGAATTACTAATTTCAAACTGTTTTCAATCTTCTAGGGCTACTCTAACAAATTACTACACCTGGAGTAATTTAACCAAGGTCCTCTTCCACAGCCCTGGAGGCTAGAGAGTAAGGGAAGGGTTTTGGTAGGCATACTGTTGTTGCTCTAGGCAAGAGTGTTTTTTTTTTTTTTTGTTGCAAAACCCATGTTTATTGCAAAAAGTGGAACTTGATCATTCATCAGCAGATAAATGGGCAAACAACATGCAGTACATAGATGTCTATATTGGACTTTTTTTTTGCTTTCTTTTTCTTTTTAAATTTAAATTTAAATTAGAAACAAGGTTGTTTCACATGTCAATCACAGGTCCCTCTCCCTTTCCCTCCCCTCCCACCAACCCTCCCTAATATCCCCTTATTTCCCCAGGGAGGGTGAGGCCCTCCATGGGGGTGTCCATAGCCTTGTCATTTCAATCCAGGGCAGGGCCTAGACCCTCCCCCAAGAATCCAGAGTGAGAGTGCATCTCTCATTGTGGGATGGGCACCCAAAGACTGATCTACTACCCAAGGCCCCATAGATTGTCTAGGCCTCCTCACTGACACCCACATTCAGGGGTCTTGATGAGTCCCATACTATATTCCCAGCCATCAGTCTGGGATTCAAGAGCTCCCCCTTGTTCAGGTCAGCTGTTTCTGGGTGTTAAACCAGCCCAGTCTTAACCGCTTTGCTCATCAGTCCTCCCTCTCTGTTACTGGGTTCCTTGAATTCAGCTCAGTGTTTACCTGTGGGTGTCTGCCTCTGCTTCCATCAGTCATTGGATGAAGGTTCTACAATCCCACGGCCAGAGAGTCTGGGAAATAGGCAAGAGTTCTTAGCCCTCCCAGCCTTTGGAAGTTGCTGGGTGCAGACGCCAGTTCACAGAACTGTGTCTAGGGAAGTTCCTTGCAGAAGAGACTTGCAATGACTACAAGGCCTCCAGTGAAATGTCAATTTTAAGACTACTATTTTAGGAACTCATAGTTGTTTTCTGAGATCGCAGATTTGCAAGTTCTAGTTGTGCATTTTTTGAGGCAGCTCTGATTTCTGATTCTGATATAAATACCATGAAACAGGAAAAGATCCAAAACTAAAACAAACAAACAAAAAACCCAAAACAACAACAAAAAGCCCCTGCAAGCAACGAAAGGCCCCTCATCAATTATGTTCACAATTCCCATGTTTTCTCTCTCTCTTTGGCATTTTAGACTTTGAGGGAAATCAATCACAATTAAGGTTAGAAATATGATCTTTGTCATTCCTTTTTAAACAAGGAACGTTTCTTTCGAGGGCCTGTAATCCACTGCTCGAAACTACCACATATTAAAGACTTTTGGTTCAGGTGATGCATCTTTTGTTGTTCAACTTACAATCCCACCACAGCAAAGTGGGAAACTTTGTAGTGCTTGTTTCCCCACCGAAAACTTAAAAGAGAGAAATGAAGCCACAGAAAAGTGTTCTTTCCTGTAAATCTAATAATTGATTGTATCTATAAACAGTGACTATCTTTTCTGTGTCTCTCCTTCCTCCCTAATGACGGACTAATGACTTAGAGGGAATTATTTGATAACATACCTTGCTGTTGAGAGTTCAGTAGGGAACAGGTTTTTCAGCCGTGTCACCACGCAGAGCTCTTTCTGTGTAAATGGTAAACTTATACATCTGAGCTACTTTTCTAATTAAGCCTTAGTGTGAAGAGGAAGGAGAGTAGCCACACCTAGGGAAGGGGCGGGATTTATGTAGGGCCTAATAGTCATCATCTCAAATCAGCACAGGTATTTTCAACTCATTTCTTTTCAACCCCGTCTAGTCTTGGAGTGCAAAATCCAGTATGAATCTTGAGTAGGAGACGGCTAGTTAGATTTAGACATGCAGTGTACCTATTCATCAGAAGCCTATGCGGTCGGTGCAGGGGTGGGTGAAAAAATAGTACTGAAAGCCAGGTAAAAGGGGTACAATCGGGAACTAATATTTGTACTGACTTCTCGGATGGTTTTAAATTGTTTCAAGAAAATGATTTTGCTGCCCTAAACTTCCAAGGCTGAAAGCTCTCAGAAAAGAGTACTTGTGGAGCTGAGAGTCGTTTTGAGAATTTTAATTCTTTCCCCATGTTCTTTTAAATGAAAAGTCAGGCTGCGAATTTCCACCACCAAGTGGCACTTAACGAGCATTTCACCACACGTCTTTGGAAAACAACAGCAGAGATGTGTCCATGGCACTCTGAGAGTGCTTGCTCGAAGCGGTCACAGAGGAGGACACTGTTTACCATCTTAGCTGCTAAGACTAGGTCTTTCTTCTTGAAAGACACTGGTCTAAGGAATAAAATGAGTAACCGGCAATTTGAGAAGCCATTATGTCAATTACTTTGTGCTAAACTTAAGGGTGTTAGATACTGGTATATTGATAAACAAAAATATAAGACATTTAAGGCTAATCAATATACAGCTTTTTGTGGTCCTAAGAAGTTTTCTAAGTAGTTAATTTTTTAAGTAAATACAAAGAAATATAGAATGAATTTGAGGCTAGCCTGGATTATAGAGAGCTATAAGACATCCAGGGCTATGCAGGGAGACCTTGTCTCGGAAAAAACGAAAATGTAGACTTAAAAAATAAACTCATACTGCTATTGCAGAGTAGAACTATGCATGTGTACAGCATCCAAGGGAATTATTTAAAGTTAGAGGTCAGGTTATTTATGGCTTTTGAGAGCTAAGCATCTCCTGCAATGTATGTGATATCCCGTACAAGTGTTCTGAGTAGCATCAGAATGGTTGCTGTTGACCTTAGGGAAAATAACAAAGATAAAGTGTGCCCTTGCCAGGAAAACTGAATTGGTTGAAGATGTTTATTCTGCAGTATGGCTTTTATAGTAAGATGAGCACTGAACTCCAAACTTAAGGAAAGTGTGTGTATATGTGTGTGTGTGTGTGTGTGAGTGAACGTGAAATAAATATGAAGGGGTTTCCCCCAGTAAACACAAGTGATAAATACGTACTTCACTTATTATTTCCAAAGAAAAACCAAGATCTACGCCATTGTAAAGGGATCCACTGATACTTAGTAGTTCCATCCAGTTGTAGTTCAGAAAGTTTCTAAGAAGTCAAGGTCCAACTATATTGTTCACTTGCAAATTCTGTCACTCTTTGTGACCTTAAGACAGGTATTTATCTTTCTGGTTCCTCAGTTTATCTACTGAATGGATGTAATAGTGAATATTGTGAGACTTAATCCCCGTTTTGTTGTTAAGAGATTAAATATTGGCATGTGACAGGAATGTGCTTGTGTTCCAGGGTATACACACAGAGAGACAGACATACAAATACACAATGGCATGTCAGCCCTCTAACATTTTAATTCTCACCAAGTTCCCTTTGTCATATTTATCTCATTTGAAAATGTGCATTTATTTTTAGGACTTTCTTGGAAATGAAAATTGTTGTAATTGGCCAAGACACATCTTTTCTATTGGTCTACAAATGATTTCATTTAAAAACAAATTCTAAAGATTTATTTACTCATGCATTTTGTGTACATAAGCGCTCTGTGTTTATGCACACCATAAGAAGGAATCTGATCCCATTACAGATGGTTGGGAGCCACCATATATTGCTGGGAATTGAACTCAGGACCTCTGGAAGAACAGACAAGTGTTCTTAACCGCTGAGCCATCTCTCCAGCAGCTGATGGAAGCAGAGGCAGACACAGCTAAACACTGAACTGAACTCCTGGAACCCAGTTGCAGAGAGGGAGGAGTCATGAGCAAAGGGGTTAAGAACAGGCTGGAGAAACCCATAGAAACAGCTGACCTGAACAAGGGATGGCTCAGAGGTTAAGAGAGGACTGATTGCTCTTCCAGAGGTCCTGAGTTCAATTCCCAGCAACCACATGGTGGCTCACAGCCATCTAGTGCCCTCTTCTGGTGTGCAGGCGTACATGGGGGCAGAATGTTGTATACATAATAAATAAATCTTTAAAAAAAAAAAGGGGAAGCCCATGAACCCCCAGACTGATGCCTGAGAGGCCAGCATGTGACTGATCCTGACCCCCTGAATGTGGGTGTCAGTGAGGAGGCCTCTGCAATCTATGGGGCCTCAGGCAGTAGATCAGTATTTATCCTTGACATACAAATGTACTTTGGGAGCCCACTCCACATGGAGGGTTGCTCTCTCAGCCTGGACACCTGGGGGAAGGCCTAGGCTCTGCCAGGGATGATATGACAGACTTTGGAGATTCCCCATGGAGGGCTTCACCCTCCCTGGGAAGCAGAGGGTACATGGGATGGGGGATTGTTGGATTGGTGGGGGGGTGAGAGAGGAGGGGTGGGAGAGGGAGTTGGGATTAACATGTGAAGCAAGCTTGTTTCTAATTGAAATAAAAAATTTAAAAAATAATAAAAATGAATCCTAAAGATTGGCACAAGTTCCAGGCTAGTCTAGGCTACAAAAGTGAAGCCCTTTCTCAAAAAACTCCAAGAAGGCAAACTCCTAAGCCTACAAAAAGTGGCTGTGTGGTGATTTAGAAGAAATGTGCCCAAAGGCTGCTTTGTAAGAAAAACTCATTTGAACACACAGGGCTCACACCTGTAGATAGGCTATCACTCAACTGGGAAATTTGAATTTCTCTCTGTATTTGCTCCGTTCCTTTCTCTTTCTCAAAGTCTAATATTTCTTGACAATGAACGAAACTTGAGAAGGCTTAGACGTGTTTAGGAAAAAAGCCAATGTGAACAATTCAAATGCTAATTTTGACAGGTGCAAAGTGCATATTTTCTGTAAACAGAGAATGAAATGAAATGATACCCAACCAACAGCTCCTTTAATGGTAGGCTCCACCGCAGGTGGTTCACAGCAAACAGAGCCCAATTGTTGAAGAAATGCCCAACAGAGCTGGCAGGGAACCGAGAGGCTTACATAAAGAATTTTAAATGACTTGACATGTCATGGAGGCTGTAATTTACCTGTCTAGTAGTTTCCCAAAACAGTTATACCAAGTTATTATCCTATGGCATTTTACTGAATGCTTATTTTTCTATAAGTTTAACTCAAGTTTTCATTCTGAGTGCAAAATAATAAACATTTGCCACCTATTTGGTGAAAGGGCTTATTTTGTGCCTATTCGATCATTTGAAGGTTGAATTATCTTTCAAATATTTCTTCACTTTAAAATTTTTCCTTTAAGAATTAATCCATTTCCTCTTGGTATTTCACTTATACCTGTTTTGTGGTTCTTTCCATGTAAGACTTAGTTTAATATATGCTGAGTTCCCTAGTGTGTAGTGTATCCCCAATCTGGCTTGGTTCTTAAATCTTTCTCACAACCATCAGAGTGTCATACAGTTATCACTTTTCATTACAGAGTTATCTTTGCTTGCCAGGACATGGGCTATTGCTACACTGACACCTGTTCATTCCTACCTTATTTAGCTACTTGGCATCTATTTGGCTGTAAAGAATATTAGCCATGTATTTATCTCAAACCATTCACAAAATATATTTCAAAATAAAGCATTAAAAACCAAAACCAAAACCCTGTATGTTTCTGATTATTTGTATGTCCCAGGGAGTAGCATAGTTAAAGCTATATCCTTCCAAAGCTAGGAGGGTAGCCGATCAGTTCATCCGTGGCAATGAGCCGCCTCTCACCCAGCAGTACTGATAAGCTAAAATTCTAGTCGACTTGAAATCATCTATCAAGCAGATATCCTGAGGAAAACAGCATGCTGGTGTAAACGCTCTAGCTAATGACAAACATCAATGACCTGGGGTTCTATTAGTCTAAAAGCTTGAAGTTTTCAGTTGCTAAGTGCAGGGTTTTATGGCATTCTGTGGAATCTATTCCTTTCCTGAAGTCTTCCTGACCATTACTTCCGAAGATGATCCTGCTTCTGATTGGTTGGAACTGAGCAGCTCCAGAATTTGTAAGACATAGTTTCCCTCTATATAGTAGGCATCAATCCCAACATATTTAACTGCAGGTGAATTCCTGGGAGCTCTGCTTGAGGGGTATTAGCAGTATTATGGAATTTCCTTAATAAAGTAACAAAAATATTCTTTGCTAGAAATTTTTCTTACTGAAAATTCAGTTGCAGTTGTAAGTAGATTAAAAAAAATTCAAGCCAATGTACTACTATTGCTTAGAGAAGATTTTTGACCTGCTTACAGAATTATTTCTTGACATACATAAACTTACCATGAGGCAAGGTTTATGCAAAAAAGCTTCGGTGGGATACAGTTTAATATAACTAATGCTGTCTTGGTCAAAACTGCCACCTTGCCTGTGAGCTGGCCTGGTACATCTCTTACTCTAGAGGATAATCACTGAGATATGAGATGAACACCCCTGGTTGCCACTAACACAGGCTGTCTCCTGACACACATTCACAGCTTCTCAGAGAGCCCAGGTACATTTGGTTAGCTGAGGGCCACTTCCGTGTAGCACCCCACAGCAACCCTTCTTTCTACTGCAGAGTGCTGGATCTTCTATCTAGCCACCAACTATACACATACTGGCGGTTTGCAATCCTAGACTGTCACCTCCTCTCTTCATCTTAGTGGCCTCTACCTTTGGCAGTCAGCTCTTCTGTGTCCCAAAACTGTTCTCTGGCTGTTTTTCTTTTTTTCTTTTCATTTTAAGGGGATAGACGTAATTAGGTTCCTTTCAACAATCTTCTCAGAGGATGCTTTGATAATAGCAGAAAATGTTCAACATCTAAGCAAGCAGCCAGGAACCAAAGGACCAAAATGTTATTACCTTCAAAATAAAAACATCTGGAAAAAACAGCAGTACTTCCCACAAAGATCAGGGATTTAAACAGGCATTTGGGATTGTTCAAGTTCCACATGACCAAAGAGAAAATGTAGGCTATTAGCTAAAGGGAGAAACATTCTCATGTTTTCACTGATTAGGTATTACACATAAACTCCTTATATCCACATAGCTACTTCCAATAAAGAAGTTCCATTCAGAAATCATCAACTGTTACATGACATTTTTATTTAATTTTAAAAATCATTCGTAGTATACAGTTTTAGCAAATAACTATAGATATAGCATATATGCATCTGCTAGACTTAGCAACTGCTATACACTATTTTTTAGAACATTAGAAACTAATGACAGGCTCACAAAGGCTATTTTTAAGCCCTGCAGAACAGGGTGACTGTTCTGCAGAAGCATCAGCTTTGTTAAGTCGTACAACTTTGGGCCAGATGTGCACCTCACACATGGAATCCAGCCCTCAGATGCTAAAGCAGGAATTCTGTGAGTTCAAGGCAGGATGGGTGATACAGGGCCAGCCCAGGCTACACAAAGAGGAAAGTTTTACAGTTCATAAACAATAAGTTAGTATGGAACAATGCTTAAAAACAAAAACAAAAACCAACTCTTTAAGAGTCATCAAGTTTCTTATAGGCTTCTTGAATGAATGCTGACATGGTCTTCACTGAGGCTGAATTATGAAGGACATCCAAGTCCTTCAGAAGAGCATTCTGGTTTGGAATTAGTGCCAAAATTTCTTTCTGTGGGTAAGACAGTACAATTAATTATAGCACTTTATGATGAAAAAAATGTCATGAGTCTCTTATTTGGAGACATATATAATAGTCTTAAGTACCCACCAACCAACTTCACTAATCATCAACCAATGGCCATTTGTGTTCATATAAGTCTTTCTCCTATTCCTGCCCAGCCGTAGTACTACAGATAATAAAATGAGCATTAACATGACTGTATCAATGAGCTCAATAGAATAAAGACAAACTACAAGTGTATAGATTAATGACAAATATTCCAACCAATGCTAGTTCATAAAGAGCTGTGTAAATATGTGTAATATAAAATTACTCATTTCTATCAGTACTTTACAACAATAATATATCTGTGCAATGTAATGTTATATAACTACTGATAGGAATAGTATACATGAACTGACAGAAAAGGTTCAAATTATATGACAAGTAGAAAAGTAATTTGTCAAAAAATTTATAACAGGATTAGTTTGTTTAAAGAAATGGGACATGGATTACGGTTTTATAATGAGGGAGTGCACATGTGTGTGTGTGTGTGTGTGTGTATGTGTGTAACACTGTCTGGTACTTACTTGAAGTATAGGTGCTTTAAGACTTTTCTGAGGAAGTTCTGGAAGAGACAGTACCTTATTACTATCCACGTGAAATTTCTAAATAGAAACAGAAAGGTAGGGATTATTTCAAAAGGCTGGTTTTGTTCACCTCACAAAACTCAAGCATTGAGCACTATAGTTGGATACCAGCAACATGGTTTGTAAGTGTTACCTGCTTCACCTGCTGTTCCTCCTCCTCTACCTCATTCGTCAGAATCTGAATTCTGTGCTTCAGGCTCTGAATTCTCTCAGTCATTGACTCTGTGGTCTCCACTATTTTGTCTATTTCTTCCTGAGGGAAAAAGACAAGTTAATATTTTAAAGGAAATGTCTTATAAATGAAACACTTGCAGAGTGTTTAGATATAATGCCTTATATTTTATGACACTATGGCTGAAAAGGTTAACTACTGTTGCGTATCTTTCAAAAACATAGCCCCTAGAAGGCTGCTTGGCCACTGTAACATGAATTACAAGGAAACTTACTTTCATGGGCTAAGGAGCTAACTTCCCATCAATGCTTCAAAAGCTAACTAGTACCAGAGGTTCTGGAAAACCCTCGTAGGAGTCTTGCAGAGCCCAAGACTAATGCTACCAAACAACAGCATATAATATCAAGTGCCAGAAAAAAAGAATATATTTTCATTTTAGTTAGTAACATCTGAATGCCCATTTTAATATATCAAAAGAATGAAATGCTAGGCATTGGGATTAGATATTACTAAAAACACTGCATGAGCATTTTCTGAATTAAAGAAGCACATTAATTTATAGAGAAAGACAAAGAATTATGCAAAAGGAATGAAATTAGCTATAGACATAAGATGTGCTAACTGCAGACCAAGTACAGTAGAAACCAGTTTCTTTGTTACTAAAGTGCACCTTTTAAAGTATGTCCTCAACATCATACCACTTCATCTGTAAATATTTCAATGTACAACTCTAAAGGACTACAGATAATAAAGGAGTTACATATAATAAAGAATGATTTTCATTATGACACTAGGAATGGTGGCATATATCTATAATTCACATTAGCATTCAGGAGGCAGAGGCAGGAACACCTCACCCCCCACATCACTCACTGAATGAAGAGTTACATACAATAATGAATAAAGATTTTCACTGTGACAATAGGAATGGTGGTATATATCTATAATTCATTAGAACATTTGGGAGGCAGAGGCAGGAATATTTCAATTTTATGGTCGGTTCAGGGAGATTAGCAAGAATCTGTCTCAAAATAGAATAAATAGCCTAGCCATGTAACTCAGTGGCAGAGTGTTTCAGGCTCTGGGTTAGCCTCCAGCATCACCGGAAAAATGTGAATCACTGTAAGATTTAAAGTTTTTTTCATTCCATTGCTTTTGCTATCCTCTTGGGTATTCCTATCATATTTATGCCGCACTGAAACACACTCACCCTCCACTCGCCCACCTTGGATGTGGTACTTCCTCTGAGTGAGCTCCAAGGAAACCACTGACTGCATCTGTATTTCTGCCATTGCCATCCAGTTTTAACTGGAAATGAGAGATACTTTCCCATAAAGTCACACTATCATTTATTGCTTGCTTCTGAAACTCTTGTTTGATACTATTTAATTGTGATGCTAACACTCACCATTATCATGGCTTAAAAGACTTACAAAAAACCTGTATTAATGTCATGTCACTGTTAATTAAATGGTAGAGGTGGCACCAATACTAAAAGATGATCAGAAGCAGTAACTTCGGGATAGAAATTATAGTATGAATTCATGAATTAAGTAGGGCCACTACTCCATAAATATATCTTATTATTTATATGTGGATGCATTGTACAACATTATTCTTCATACTCAGGAAGAGTTATGTGTTTGAGTTACTAGATGTTCTTCCCAACATAGTTCTTGCGCTAACTACTATCACTACCCTGACCTTCCTGAAAGCCCATTCAAACACTAATGCCACCACATGTACAAACTACTTAAAAAATGTCTGAGGATGGTATGGGTCAATTGCTTTGGTTTTTATATTAGTGAGTTCTCTAAAATTGCTTTTCTTACTCGTTCAAATATCAACTAATTAAAAGCTGAAAGTTGCACACTATGCTCTCATATCTGACGGGCTGGTATTCAACTATAAGCAGTTTGTTTATGGCTCAGTTGGAATTTTTCTCGAATTAGTAAAATAAAGATGACAAAGGTTAGACTCTTCAGACTATGTGAGGGGAAGAGATGTAGCTATGGTATGTTTGGACAGAAAGTTCTCAATATACAAGAGCTATAGAGCTAGTAACAACTGACACAATGACTACAACTTTCTGTAACATTATGGAACTCATCTTTGGGATTTCATATTATTCAGTGACGAGACTTGGTAATTAAACATATCATTAATTCAGGTAAAAGAGAGTAATTAAAAGAATGGGGCTACCCATGAGTTGGAGCATTTGGCCAACATAAAACAAACTAAATAGTACTTTTGTAGACTTTTTGCTTATTGTGGTCTTCTGCTCATTTATTTTGATTTCCATTATTGTGTTTTTCTTTCCTGTGTGTGTGTGTGTGTGTGTGTGTGTGTGTGTGTGGTTTTTGTTTGTTTGTTTAAGAGAGAGACAGAGAAAGAACATAAAGTTGGATAGATAGGGAGGTGGTAAGGATCTGGATCAAACTGCAGGAGGTAAAAGAAATGATCAATACATATGAAAGAAATTTTCAAAAATATTTACAAGAATGGGGCTGTTATTTGATCACAGATAAATAAATCATAAAGACTTCAATTTTAGAGGCCCAAAGGTTTGCTTTCATTACAAGAAACAAAAACCAACAACAACAACAACAAAAAACCTCAATCCAAAATTTGAATTTATTACCAGGCCAATACTAGGATGACTTAGTTTACCCTTGTCCCTTTCACCAGCTCCCTAGTTCCCGAGGCCCTTTTGAATGTCACACCTGCAGTAAAGCCAGGCCCTCTTCGTTAGTTCTTTCCTGTGCCTTTTCCAGTTTCAGCAGATTTGACACATCTGCTAAGTAGTTCAGCTGTCTGGGAGGGACTTTCAGTGTTCCACACTGTTGTAGTAATCTTAAAAATATAATTAAACATGTTGACATTTGGGAACATTGCCATTTGTTTTTCATTTGTTTGTTTTGAAACAGTTTCATTTTTTCCTGCTCCCACACAATAGCTAACTGCATTCCTTTCCCAAGCAAACCATCACCTTCAATACACTAACAATTATTGAAAATCATGAAATGCTAAGGCTGCTTTACTAGAACATTTTTTTAGTTCACACACTTAGAAATATACTTTAAAAACAGAATTTCTTACTACTGTTTAAATAGGCATTCTTGTGAGCCTGCCAGTTTAGAATGGATTGTTGAATAAGAGAGAGAACTCTAGAAGTTTGTTTTGTTTTGTGTTTGAGACAGGGTTTCTCTGTGTAGCTTTGGAGCCTGTCCTAGGACTCACTCTCTAAACCAGGCTGGACTCAAACTCACAAAGATCTGCTTGTCTCTGCCTCCCAAGTGCTGGGATTAAAGGTGTGCACCACTACTGCCTGGCTTAGAACTCATAAGTTTTAAGTCAGACCCACTTCTTGATTTTAAAGAATCCAACCAATGCAGGTTAATCTAGATGCTTTCAAAGATAACTGGGTTTTATAGTTGAGGGCAGATAAGATGATGATCTCTCCATGCATTGCTGTAGAACACTATGGCACGAATTCTATTCTATATTCTAGTTAAGGTTGTTACTGATCTGTGTGATCCCCCCTTCCAGGAGATGGCAAAATAAGCTTCTCAGACATGATTCTTCAGTTCTATTAGAGTGAAATGAAGGAGAATAAACTCATTGTAATTGCTTCTGCCACAGCAACAGTGTGGGTTTTCTAAAAATTAGTAGGGTGGCCAGCAAGTTGAACACCTTCCCAAAGTTAACAGCCAAAACGCCCGAAAATTGGAACCATTTTTGGTTCCAAACTTAAGTTACTAATGGAAAATTCATTCACCATTATAAAACACTGACTCATGCAAAAAAAGTACTAAAAATACTATATAAGGGCTGTTAGAATGGGTCGGTAGGTAAGGGCCCTTAGCAAGAATGCCTGAAGACCCGAGTTCAGTGCCTGGAACATGAGGAAGGAACACAATCTAGAAGTAGACAGCCAAATACTCAAAGTTGTGTTTGACCTCCAACAGCATGCCACAGCATCTGCTCTCTCCTGCGCATGCATACACAGAGTTTTAAAGAAATACTTCATAAAATGAACCAATGTGAAATGACACGATAAATAAGTGAATTTTGTGTTCGAATTTGGGCCCTATCCTTAAGACTACATGTAAATATCATCAAATCTAAAAGTAACCCCAAACCTGGAACATTTAATTTCATTTAAAAAGTAAAAGTATATTATATTGAAATCATTTTAGAAAACAGGAGCAAATTATATATTTGTTTGTTTGTTTTTTTGAGACAGGGTTTCTCTGTATTGTTTTAGAAGGATGTCCTAGAACTCACTCTGTAGACCAGGCTGGCCTCCAACTCACAGAGATCTGCCTACCTCTGCCTCCCGAGTGCTGGAATTAAAGGCGTGTGCCACCAACGCCAGGCTGCGAATTATATTTTAAAAATAATTACAGGTCAGGTGGTGGTGACACATGCCTTTAGTCCCAGCACTTGGGAGGCAGAGGCAGACGGATCTCTCTGAGTTTGAGGCCAGCCTGTTCTATAGAGTGAGTTCCAAAGCTGCACAGAGAAATCCTGACTCAAAACAAAACAAAACACACCAAAATGAATAAATGATAAACAAAAGGATAAAAATATAATTTAATTATTTCCAATGTGTATTACCTTTTCTTTAAGTCGTTGAGATGATACTGAATTTGTTCTTTGCCTTTAATGTTTTTGTTTAAAATTTCTCTGGGGGAATAAAGAGACCCAATTAAATATTACTTAGAAACATAATACAATCTGTATTTCGAAAATGTTTCAAGTGTTCAACTAGTTAGGCAGAACCATTCACCTTCTCTTTTATACAAGATACATTTTTAAAATAACAATAACTTAGCTTTAAGTGAAATTTACCATACTGAGATTTTTAGTACTATATATCTATGTTTTTATTACTGGTATATATTAATACAAAATAGTGGGTTTTATTTTGACATCTTCATAAACACTCACACACATGGTAATTTGATAGCATTTCTCTTCTATTACCCACAAAACACTTTAAGCAGAGCAAGGACATTTTCTTTGAATCATACTGTATTATAATAATTTATGCGTCCAACTTTTCTGATGCAGTTAAATTGTACCATGGAGGATTTTTCTCTTTTAATTTCTTTGTATTTCATATAACAAAGTAATTTTCAGAGAAAGTGTTATTGTGAGCCCAACTTCTGAAGAATCAATAATGGTAGAACAATTTAAAAATTGTATAGATTGCAAGCCAATCCACACAGACTTGATTTTTGCTTCACTGATGGGATCCAAGAGTGTACAATTAAGCAAACCTTTGTTGTAAAGGCTCGTACTGTCACGGTTTAAATTTGATAGGACTGCCATTGGCACATGTGCTGAGTGCTTGTGGAAACTGCAGGAAGTAGTGACAGGCTGGAGGATATGCAGGACACTGGGGTGTGTTTTTAAGTGACACTTGGTCCCTGGTGCCTCTCTTGGGCTCTGCTTGCTCCAAGTCAGGCTTCCATGGCTGTGACTGTCTGTCTCACAAGGGCTCAGAAGCAATGGAGCTAAGACTATGGATCAAATCTTCTGAAACTGAGCCTAAGTAATCTTTATGCTGTTTAAGATATTTATGTTAAACATCCTGACACCTCCATGAACAGAGTAACTATATTTAGAAAAATGTAAATAGTAAATACCTAAGTAAGAGTAAAGAGTTGCAAAGGAAATGTCTGAAACTCACAGAATTACTGATTCCATCATACTCTGCAAATACTCTTCAGTAGTCTTTGGAAGAGGCTGCCAGTTTGTTCTCTTGTTGGATGCTACTGTTATCCGTTTTAGGTTAATAGACTTTGCTTGTCCTGTTACTGGTATACAAGAGAGTATAATCAATACAGATGATTGCAGTTTTACTTAAGAATGACTTTAATCTAAAGAACATTAATGGCATTATGACACTAGAACTCTCTACTCTTTAATTCACATCTTACTGCAGCTACAACACGTCAGTTCTGAAGATGAATTTGCCCATTGTGATGATACCTGGTATCAAGTGACACTGAAATACAAACACCTTTAAATGAAGATATTATTAAAATTTGTTTCTGAAAAATGACTTGAATTTTTAAAAATTCAATAATACGAGAAAATTATTTTTTAGAAATGACAGAACAATCTACAAATAGACATTGACTGTTATACCTTTAATCAGAGATGAGTAATTCAGAGTGGGGAACAATGATTTACTTCCTAGTTCTTATCAGTGTGGCAGATAAACCTCAACAGTGTCTGCCAGAAGAAATGGATAATGCATTGTTCTACTTACAAGGCAGAAGAAACAAGACAGAGGTCTGACTTCAAAATGATTTGGTAAGGAAAAAAGGGATATTATTATGCAAATTATACGAGTGCAGGGATTACAAAAGAAAAAGGTGTGGTACCCCAGGAATTAGAAAATCAGAACACTATCTACATTGAAAGGCGAGGTATCATAAAGAAATAATGTTTACAAAAACGCGAGTACTTCAAACTAATTTACGTTGAAAAGCTTAAGCTAGTATTACAAATCATCTGTATAGTACTGGCAGAATCAAAAGCACAGACGTCTTGAAGAGAAAGAAGTAAGACTGTCTTTTTGTCAGAGATGAGTAATTCGGAGTGGGGGGACAATGATTTGTCTTCTAGTTCCCATCAATGCGGCAGATAAACTTCTGTATATTTTCTAGAAGAACTAAATATTATGAATATGGCTGTTTTTGACCAGCTTTTACTACCTATGATCTCATAACCAAGATGCTGAAAATTTCTTCATGAAAATCGGTAGAAGACAATTTAAACAAGTCATACAAGAGCCATACCTTTAGAGGACAGATGCCCCGCATGACTTTTGTTTCTCTTCGCTGTGTTGCCAACCTAGAGATACACAAACAATGAAACATCAGATAAAAAGATGGTTTTGCAACACATTTCCATGCATACTAAAGAGTAGTATTTACTTTCCAGGAGGCAGAAAAAAGTATACGGCTGTTTCTACAGATGGGGTAGATACTACGACCAAAGAACTCATTAAAGCATGTGATTCATATAGTACAACTGACTTTTACACTTTTTAAAGGAATAGATGGTATTTCTAATCAAAGAGATCTAAATGACAGATTCAATATTTTATTACCTCATTCTCCGGCAAATATGCTTCCTCATCAACTCTTTGTTTTGAATTTCTCTTTAACTGTTGAGATTTTCTCTTAGAGGCATTTGCTTTACCAGGCATTTTGATTTAAGCAGTACAATTACAATGATACATACTCTGCAAAGGTGAAAAAGAAAGAGAAAAATGAAAAAGGCTTATATATGTTTTCATTAAAAGATTATGTGTAATTATTCTAAACTATGTCTTCAGAGTTTGGGAAAAATATCTTATGCTCTTCAAACACTTAAACATGTTTTAAACAATCACTTTGGTGCTGTAGATGGAGCATAGTTGGTTGAAGGCTTATCTAAGAGGCATAAAATCCCCAGTACTGCATAATCTAGCTTGGTGTTGATGTCTGTAATTTCAGCACTCAGGAAGACAATAAGTTTAGGGCCATCTTCAGTTAGAGTGAATTTGAGGCGGGTCTTTAACAAGATAAATGAAACCCTGTCTCAAAAATCAAACAGCGATCATTAATTTAATTTCATTCCTTAAAATGGCTACAATTTTCATGGTTCCAGAAAAAACTTTTAAAGATGCTTTTAAATGTATATACTCCCATATGCAATATTATCTCCATTTTTAAATTCAAGAAAAATTATAAAATGGATGCAGAGAAAGTCAGTTCAGAGAATATTACTACTGGATTTTAAGTAATGGGTTTACCATTACTCAGTTTGTGGCAAAGGTGGAAGGAGATAAACTTTGGGTTTGTACTAGCTAGCATTCCACACTGTGAACAGTAATGGGAAAGTCTGCCGGGAGGTACAACTCACAAGGAGGCAGGCTGTACCTCCTCTGGGACTGTGTGAATTGTAGAAGGGTACAGAAATATGCTGACTACTCAGTTCGCTCACGAATTACAAACCAACATGGGGCTGTTGATGGAGGCATCGATGGCAACATTTAGAGTAACTTACTTTCCCTAGCAGACCTTTAAAATCAAACTCATTTCTGATAAAAGGAAGAGGGATGGGTTATGTATTTCTGCATTTTATAATGAGTGGACAGGCTATAAGTTAGGCATAGTTTTAAAAAGCATATATACACGTGGTTTTTTTTTCTTTTTCTTTTTCTCCCCCTGTGACAGGGTTTCTCTGTGTAGCCCTGGCTGTCCTGGAACTCACTCTGTAAATCAGGCTGGCCTCGAACTCAGAGATCTGCCTGCCTCTGCCTCCCAAGTGTTGGGATTAAAGGTGTGCACCACCACAGCCCAGTCACATACAGGTTTTAATTATTATCATATATCTACTAAGCTATCCACCGTTCTCTTTCTGAACTATAAACGTAAGTGTTTACGTCTACGTGCTTTGCCTGCATGCATGTCTGTGAACCATAAGTGTGCTTGGTGGTCATGAAGACCAGAGGAGAACACAGAGCCCACTCTGGGACTACAGTTAGAGACGCTTGTAAGACAGCATGTGTGTGCTGAGAGTTGAGACTGGGCTCTTTGAAAAGCAGTCCCTGGATATTTATTTATTTTTAAATCTAAAGACTCCTCTTACTTGCTTAAATTAAGACAAAGAATACATGAAAAAAATAGTTGAAGATCGCATACCACATTTAGGAATCATATATCAAATCAGGTACAAAAATTAGCAGAACCCCTTCCCCCATTAAAAAAGCAAGACAAAACATTTTATCTGTTATTGAGCAATGCAGTACTCCCTTGTTTCAGTTCTAAAATACCCAATTCTCTCAGCTGGGCTTCTAAAACACCAACCCACATTGAGTAAGCTTTACTTGTGGATCTCTTCTAGAAGAACTGACATTAAAGCAGTTCGTGTTCACCAGATGAGAGCGTGTCCATTGAGAGGGAAGGTGGGGACTGTGGTCTTTGGACGAACACGCTATGGAATCCTTCCCACCGCTGGGAGGCCGGGTCAATGCTAGGACGTAGCACTCCATGATACATCACAGCGGATCCTGCAGCTGTTTGAGATACAGCTTGGTAGGAGTGACTCTGCTGAGGGTGTACTGCCTAAACGGGGACAGATCGGCAGCTTCGGCTTTCCTGGGCTTGGAAACACCTAGTCTTGGAAGCCACTCCCCAAGAGATGGGAAGGCCAACATGAAGAGGGACTGAAACCCTTGGCATAAGCCTCACCTGAGCTCCCAGAGTCACCTTGGCATCAGGTGCACGTGCCTGAGCCAATAGATCTTTAATTATATATCAAATATACCAGCCAGGCCTACTAAGCCATTCAAGCCCAAACTTTGGAACAAAATACACGATTAAATACTCAGTGTGTTTAACATCTACACTCTTACCTTGACATTTACAGTCCTGAAGAGTCCGACCCTACTCAGCTCTTCACCCTCCTTACCTGTTACTTACATTTCCCTCTAGCTAGATTTGGTTGCTTAGCACACTGAGTATTTCTGTCTCTCGTGCACACAATGCACACTCTACCTGAATTGTTTTCTAGTCTATCTCTGCTCACTCAGACTATGAGCTATCATCTTTCCAAATCCTTTCTAACCACTCTTCTTCATTTCTCTCCAAAAGTCTGTGGGCTTTTACAATTCTCACTGTCTGACATAGCTGGTTCTGCCAGTCATTTTCTCCAGATATGACATACTCAATCAATCATATTTAGTTCAACATTACTCCAGATGTGATTTACAAACTGTTTTGTAAAATTAATATTAAATACAGAAATTGAGAATAAATGTCTATAGAAATTTAACAGAATTTCATGTCAAATTCACTCAAAAAATAATTGGCCACCTCTTTTGAATTTCATTTATTCTAACAGCTAATACTTAGAAATAGATTAGCTTTTCAGACCAGTTTTAGATTCCAATAAATTGTAAAGGAAATGTAAGGGATTTTTCATATGCTACTCATGGTTACCTCACCAACTATTAGCATTCCACATCTAAGTGGTACAGTAGCTACAAGTGACTGGACCTCCCCTGACACATCACATTATCTCCATTCATAGTTTACCTTAGGGTTCGTTGCTGGTGTTGCACGGTGTATGAAGTTGATTAATAATTTATTTTAAATTGTCGTCATCAAAATTATCAGTATTGACTGACTAGAAATACAAAAGCAAGACAAGACAAAATTGGTCCTTAGCCAGTTGTGTTTTCATGCTCTCTACCTGAGGTAACAAATCATAGTGCAACTTCGGCCTCATTAACATTGGCTGGCTTTCGAAACAACTCCATAAGATGGTTTGCAGCACTCTCGTCTCTATTCGTACATACTAGAATGGTCCCACTCCCAAGCAGTGACAACCAAAATTGTTCTGGTTACTGTCAAATATCCCGAGTCAAAAAAGTTCCATTGACAACCAATGGCATGATGGGTAAGAACAAGCTATATAAATGGAAGATAAATGGTCCAAGTTCTCAATCCCAATTAACTAAAAACTTACTAGCCCCAGATCCAGTAAATAAACTAGAATTTCCCACTGATAAAACACTACCATTATCAGGTACTTGTAATGCTGAAAGGGCAATACAGAATACAAAACTCCCAGATCAGTGTACAAGAGACAGATGTTGTAAGAATGCAAACAAGGGTCATGACTTCTGTCCCTGTTGGGACAACTTCGGTGTGTATACATGAAAGAAAAAATCCCCACTGCTCCCAGATCCACTGGGATTAATATAGTGGGTTGGCAGGAACAGATATGAAAGCAATCACTATGTATGAAATAACACTAAACGCAATCAAATTGACCCATGAGCAGCTGTGCGACTATTCCAGGAGGAAGAGAAGTTCTTAAGTGACATCCTGACAGCTCAGAGGGGGGTGCTGTTTTCTCTCCAAGAACCACTCGGTTCAGAGTTGCATGCTTATGGGAGCAGAGGGAAAAGGCAGCAAAGAGGGACCCTACTTTTTGGTTTGTTTGCTTTCCTTGCCGGTTTGCTGAAGCCAGTTTCAGACGGCTTAGCTCAATTGACACCTTTATCTTCCAGGTACAAACCAGAACGAAGTCTGGCGAGGCAGCGGGGCGCCCCGGGACGGGTGGGGAGCCTCAGGAGCGAGAGCCGGGAGGCTCCGCTGGAAGAGGGAGTGGGGGAAGCGGAGGGTGTGCACGCCTCCCTGGACAAGCCAGGCCCTCAGGCTGCTGCCCCGGGGGGCGGAGACCTACTTGGACATTAGACATTGCCCTTTAAAACAAATCCAAAAACAAAACAGAAACAACAGAGTTTACCACAAACGCCTGAGCTCAGATCAAAATCCAGCCCCTTCCGGATCCATCGGTCGCTCCAGCGCTTGCCCGCAGTTTATTCCGGGCCTCAGAAAGCGCGCCTCTGTCTTTCCGCGCCCAAACAACCGGAAAAGGGAAGAAAAAAAAAACCAAAACAAACACAACGATCCGGAAATCGGAAGTGTCAAGAAGTAGGAGGTGTCCCTCCTACGTCATCAGGAACGCGCGCGCGGCGGCGGGACGGGATTGGCTGGCGGGATTGTGGTGCGGCTACGCCCCCCGCCCACGATTGGACCGGGCGCGAGCTCCAGCTGCGGGCGCTGGTGACCCGCGGGGATCGGGGCTCGGCGGTGGGATCGGGGCTCGGCCGTGGGATCCGGGCTCGGCCGTGGGATCGGGGCCCCCGGCTCTGTGGCCTGTGAGTAGGGCTGTACGCCCTGGAGCACGGCAGGTTTGCAAGTCTCTCCCCTTTGCTGGGTTCACCTTTCTGCCTCCTCTCTCCCCTCCGTCCTTGCCGTCCTCCTGTGACAGGAGGCCGCCTGCTTTCTCCTGACGTTTAGGTGTGGACGCCGACAGACTGGCTTCTCGTTGTCGGCTGGGACACGGGCATTCGGAGGTCACCACTGCCAAGTGTCGCTCTCTTCCCTTGCCTCCCACGCGCGCGCCAGGCAGAGGTCACTTGCAGTTAGAGGTGCCCCGGGTCCACGCCGACACGAGGCGCAGGTTGTTTGTAGGTCGTTTCTGCTAGCCATGGTGGGACAAAAAAAAAAAAAAAAAAAAAAAAAAAGTAAGGGATAGGAGGAAGAGATGACAAAAAAGGAAAGTTAGCTCTAATTTGATACAAAAAAATTCTAACTTCTCCGTTTTTACAGCATGGCATATGCGTGTAATTTTAAACCACTTGCTGATTCCCTTCCTTCCAGCTTAGCTTTGTGTTTAATGATTTCCTTTAGGCCAGTGGTTCTCAACCTTCCTGATGCTGCGACCCTTTAGTGTGGTTCCTGGTGTTGTGGTGACCCTCCAACCATAAACTGTTGCTACTTCATAACTGTAACTTGTTACTTTTATAAATCGTAATGTGAATATTTTTGGAGATAAGAGGTTTGCCTGAGGGATCGCGATCTACAGGTTGAGAACCTTAACTTTAGGCTGGTAGTTCCTTTCTTTATGCTAATAACTTTCACCCTCTGCATCCGCCACCTATGCAAATCGAACAGTGGGAGTGGCTAGCTCTTATGACGAGTTAATATGGAACCTCATATAAACAGTAACGTTTGCACTTCAGAGTTATTTTTGTTTCTAAATTTTTTTTTTAATTTGGATTTTGGAGTCAGGTTTTTTCCATGTAGCTCGGGTTGTCCTGGAACTCCACTGTGTAGACCAGGCTGGCCTTGAACTTCGGAGAGGTTCTGGAGAACTCTGTGAAAGGGCTGGATTTAAAGATTCCCTGTTTTTTTTCTAAGTTACTTTTATCTGGAGAATGAAAATATTTTGAGTTATGAGAATGGCCTTCATTATTTCACTTTAAACATATTCTAATCGTCATTAACACATTTACATATTGCTTCTCTGAATGCTTGAAATCTTTTTATGGATCTTCAAAGAAAATTTAGAAGCCCTATTATCACCAACAACAGTACTGGTGTGTGTGTGTGTGTGTGTGTGTGTGTGTGTGTGTGTGTGAGTGTGTATGCATGCATGCATACGTACATGTACATACATACACATATGTATGTATGTATATTTATTTATTAGAGACAGAGTTTCACTATGTAGCTTTGACTGACCTGGAACTCCCTGACTGGCCTTGAACTCACAGAGATCCACCTGCCTGTGCCTCTGCCTCCCCAGTGCTTGGATTAAAGTCGCTATGCTGTCTAGTATTGTTACTTTGAGTGCTTTTCTAACGTTTACTAATTCGGCCTTCGGCTTTTCAGGCAGTCCCTGCTAGAGTGGGACCCTGTTTTATCATTTGTCCAGTGTGAGGAAAGGTTCATCGATATTTTGTTTGACATGAGTATGCTTCCTGCCTTCAATGCAGTTTCAGACATTTTTCAAATCCCTTTTAGGGTTCTATGTCACTGCAGAAGTAGTGCAGATGTAAGCTCAGTATTTTCTTCACTCACTTTCTAGGCTTTCTGAAATCCCAGTGACTTGAAATAAAGATGGATGACATAGCTCTCTTGGATTTAAGAGGTTAAAAATTACAAAAGCGTTAGAAAGTTGGTATTGTTTTTGTCGTATTTATGTTTATATTCTGTTCTGCTAACTTAAAAAGATTTAGTTGAGTATATTGCATTTACTGGGATATGTCATGATTCTTTCACCTACTAATTTGAACCTGTTTCTTATAATAGCAACTGTACTCAACACAATTTTAACTTTTAAATTGATGTCAAAATACCCAGAGAAAGCACTGTGGAGATAGGGTACTAATCTCCACAAACACAATGCATTAATATAATTCATGTCCAGAACGTAACAGTCATCCTAAAGGCTTCCTTTTTTTTTTCTGTACCGTCATAAATGAATACTCCTGTAAATTCTGATGTGAACATTACCTTTGCCTGTTTTCTAAGCTTATTCTAATAGTTCCATTAAATTCTATCATTTGTCTATGTTGTAATGCACTTATTCTAATTTTAGATATTTGTAATGTTCATGTGTCTCTAGTGCAAGTAAAGCAGCAGAGAATATTGTTTTATCTTTCATTATAGACGTTATCCCAGGATGGGTGTTACTCAGCTTAAGAGGGTAACATTTTTTAGACCTTTTATGTATTAGAAGTTTACATTGTAAAGTAGTTAAAGCACTTAATACTTCCATCAGTGGTTTTGTTTTTTTTTTTGTGATCCATAATAATTATTTGGCAGTCTTCAAGGTTTTACTAACTTGATAGATAAGAAGTTAATGTGAAAAATAGACTTTCTAACAGTAATTTTTAGATTTATTTTTACTATTTTATGTATATGACTTTTTCCTGCATGTACATCTTTGCACCCATTCTTGCTTTGTGCCCAAGGAGGTGGTGAGCCTCCATGTGTGTGTTGGGAACCGAACCCAGGAATCCTTTGCAACAGCAAGAAATGCACTTAACCACTGACCCAACTCTCTAACCTGAAATTAGAGTTTTAGATTCACTTTGCCCAGTTAGTGTAATATTAATGAAATCTACATTTGATTTTCTTTTGAAAAGTATGGGTTCTATAGGTTGAGCCCAGACCATGTAACACCTAAGTATCAAGTAATTGAGGCAGTTTGCTGTTTTTCTGTGTGGGTAAATACTTGTAATATGCAAGGAACTATTAATATTCTAGTTCTTCTAGTATATAAAATGTATAGATGACAAAGACAGAAATAAGTTGGATAGATATATGGAGACCAGGTCATGATGCCTGCCAGTCCTATTTACTGCATATTTCTTTACATAGCAATGTAGTATCTACCATAAAAAATCTGTAAACGGATTTTGAATGAAAATTAGTTGAAATACTATGCTACATCTACCACATGATATAGCCTTTGAAAAATTTTGTGGGGAGTATGATATAGTCAGAGTTGCATTTTATCAGTGTTGAATAGGTTGAGGGGGACTAAGATTTATCACTAAGACCAGCTAAGAGGCTGTGGAGTAAGGAGACTGTATCTAGAATAGTGATTATGAGGAACAGGGGTAAGTGTTTATATAATATCAAGTACAAACCAGAAAGGAAAGAAAGATGAAACAGGACCAATATTTCATCTTTTCTTTTCCCCTACTCATTGAAAGCTCCCCATTTCCTTCACCCTTCTAAATGTATGTGATTGTTTTTCTAAAATTTTCTAGGTCAGTTCTCATTTACTTTTGAGAGCATCCATGCTTCACCATGTTGAGAGCTAAGAATCAGCTATTTTTGTTATCACCCCATTACCTGAAGCAGCTAAAATATACATCAGCCTCCAGATGGAAACGGCTCCTACATCAGCAGCAACCCCTTCACCCAGAATGGGCTGTACTGGCCAAAAAGCAGCTGAAAGGCAAAAACCCAGAGGACCTAATATGGCGAACCCCAGAAGGGATCTCTATAAAGCCCTTATATTCCAGGGCAGATACTATGGACTTACCTGAAGAACTTCCAGGAGTGAAACCCTTCACACGTGGACCATATCCCACCATGTATACCTATAGACCCTGGACCATCCGTCAGTATGCAGGCTTTAGTACTGTAGAAGAGAGCAATAAATTCTATAAGGACAATATTAAGGGTAAGATTTCAGTGTGACACATGATGCTTATGATGACCTAAGAGACTGATTCATTTCTGTAAACATGGCATTTTATGCTTAAATTTACTGTGGAACAAATGCATTCTTTTCAACTTCTGTGGTCAAAAAGATATGAGGCAAAGTAAAAAGTGTGAAGTTCTTGGAGATAATCCACACTTTAACCCACACTGTAGAAAAGAAATGAGATGGAGATGCATGAAGGACAGAGAGATTGGGTTTATCTCTGGAAAGCTTTCAGTTAGGTTTGTTGAGATAAGCATTGGGGGGAGAGCTTAAACGATGCCAAACACCGTAATAGGAAATAAGGTGCTAACCATGTATACAGTGAAATCTGTCCATCATTAGAAAGTTATGTCTGGTTTCCTTTTCACCATATGATAAAATTTTACTGTGTGAGTGCTTAACTTTAGAATTTCTAGGTTTATGTTGCTTAGGGAGGGGCTGGATTTGTATTTAGTGTGTTTAGTTATCTGACAAGTTTTCATAGGGACTGCATGTTTAGCTGAGTGGTAGTACACTCGCCTAGTGTGGCCTTGGATTTCATTCCTAGTTCCATTAACATTTTTGGGGGCTTATGAGAATAAAATCTAAAATTCCATTTCAGCAATATTTGAGTGGCTATGACATTATGCTGTGACTATGGTAAAGAATAAAAAGCATACATATGCTAAAAGAATTTTAAAAAGTTAAAAAGCATATATATGCTAAGTTGTATTAAGTATGTGTGACCAGCTAGATATTTTCATGAATTTTGAAAACATCTGAATAAAACAATATAAACAATCACAAAAATTATTTGATGTATGAGATTAAGCAATAAATCCTTGTACAGGTGTGAGATAAGTTATACTTTGTTGCTTATGTTATTTCTTATAGACCTAGGGGCTCAGTTTGTGTGTCTTCGTGTCCTGGAAACAGCAGACACTTAGGAAACCCAGTGTTTATTTCCGATGATCATCATTGGCATGAGGTACATCTGCTTCTACTTACTTCACTCTGAAACTCTAACATACCTGTTTTGTTTTTGTTTTTTCTTTTTCTTTTTCCTTATGTACTTAGCTGGTCAGCAGGGATTGTCCGTTGCCTTTGACTTGGCAACACATCGTGGTTATGATTCAGACAACCCTCGAGTTCGTGGAGATGTTGGAATGGCCGGAGTTGCTATTGACACTGTGGAAGACACCAAAATCCTATTTGATGGCATTCCTTTAGAAAAAATGTCTGTTTCCATGACCATGAACGGAGCAGTTATCCCAGTCCTGGCAACATTTATAGTAACGGGGGAAGAGCAAGGCGTGCCCAAAGAGAAGCTGACAGGCACAATTCAGAACGATATCCTGAAAGAATTTATGGTCAGAAATACTTACATTTTCCCACCGGAACCATCCATGAAAATTATCGCTGACATTTTCCAGTACACAGCACAGGTATGCTTTCGTTCTGCTTTTTGCTGTAGTCATTTGCAGTTTTCACAAAGTGCCACAAGTTACCTTGAATTTCATAACGGAGTCTGAGTAAGTTACATTGTCAGCCTGTCTTGTTATCTTTTAGTGTTTTTGTTTTCATGTAGTAATTTTATGGTCACAACCTAGGCAGTGTTCCACCGTTCCACTTACTGTTCTTTGGTTGATACTTAGTTGTCTGATAACTGTCAGTGTCAAGGGACTCTCACTTCCTTGGTTCTCCTCAGAGCTCAGATGGAGTCAAGATACATACTGGTATCAAGACAGATGGGCTTGAATTTCTGCTACAAATATATGTTTGCTGCTTATATGTCTGCCACCTCCATGACAATTCACCCCTGAGTTATGCACACCTTCCCCAGCCAGATTGGTGGGAGAAAAGGCTCCCTGGGCACTGCCACAGAAGCATCATTCCCTCCATATTTTCCTTTGAGCAGTGCATGTTTTCCCTGATGTTCACTTCCTGTTTCCAAGTGCTTTTCTCCTCAAGTCCTTTAAAACTGCGTAATGCCAAAGAGAAAATCTCTTATGCATCAACCCTTTTTTTTTTAACCTATTCTCCCTCTGCATCTACTTATATCAGAAATCCTGCAGGCATTTTCTGCATTCCTCATTTGATACTCAGCCTTTGTGCTTTGCAAAGTATTTTCATGTTTTGCATCTGCCAATTGAATCATACTGCATAGAATTGTACATGTATAATTGCATTATGTATAACTGTGTATTCATACCACATTTTGAAGTTTCTAAGACATATATAAATATTCTGCATAGCATCATGTAGCAAGCACATACATAGTAAAAGTTAGTAGGAACTGGCTCTGTTTGGTTTAAGGAAATTATAAAGTGGTGTTTGAGGGGTTTGCATCTGCAGAGGGAGCTCCACACTAGTAGAAAAACAAGCATAATATCTTGAAGATGCTCCATATGTCAATCACTTAAATTTGAGAGGGAATTTAATCTAACAAATACTAGTTTATTTCAGTTAAGATTATAAACTACCAAGTAATCTGAGCTTGAACATCATTTATAGATGATACTCGCTTTTATATCATAAGTTTAAATAGAACCTTTTCATAGTTTATTCATTTTTATATTTTATTATTTTATATAGCACATGCCAAAATTTAATTCCATTTCGATTAGTGGGTACCATATGCAGGAAGCAGGAGCTGATGCCATTCTAGAACTGGCCTATACCATCGCAGATGGGTTAGAATACTGCAGAACCGGACTCCAGGCTGGACTCACAATTGATGAATTTGCACCAAGGTCAGTAGACTAAACTTAGCTATCTTTTCTACATCAACAACATGCATAGAACCATTTTCTACCTGTACAGCAAAACATACTGATAATATAAAGTTGTAGGGATAAATGTCATGACAGATCTAGATTATCTTATATTTTCCAAATGAGAAAGAGAAAATAAGCCAGTATTATCAGTAGCAAAAAACCCAGAATTTAATTTGACTGTAATTCTCTGTAAATTGGAAGAATGCCATCTTTCTAGTGATTTATAGAACACAGCTAACACATGTATGGAGGTTAAACTAAAATATAAATATGAGATCAAGTTACATTATTTTTTCCATTTGAAAATATGGAAATCACCCACTCCTTTTTTCCTATAATACATGTATAAATGTTTGGGGATGGACAATACTATAAACTATATTGCCTCAAAATGAATTGTTAATAAAGTTGAATGAAAATATGGAAACATTTCAAACGACGTTTATGAAATCTTTAAATTGGTCAGAAACCAACCCAGGTTTCATTCAGATCAGCAATGCCTTGGTGAGCCCTTCGTGAAGGGAGAATCACCTGTGTGCTGGCAATTCAAATGTTCCAAACATGGCTTGTGACAGCGTCTTTGTTCTGAGATATTGTATGCTCATTATCACAGCAGCTCCCAAAATGTGGTCCAGTGCCTCCTGGGAATTACATAGATCGTCAAGGACTACACTGGTCCTGAGTACTTTAAAACTTCGTTCTCCTTTTACATTTTTATTTTCCCCAGAGTTTATATAAAGTTACATGGTGTGTTGTATTAAGTAGATTGGTTTTAGTCGTCTTTGTTTAAGCTGCACATTAAAGAGGTTTGCAAAAATGTAGAACAGGACTGGGAAAATGACTCAGTTGGTAATTCCATGCAGAGATCTGAGTTTAATCCCGATAACCCATGCATCAAAGCTAAAGACATGCTTGCAATCCCAGTGCTGAGGAGGCATAGGCAGGTGGCTTCCAGGGGTTCACTGGTCAGCTACCTCAGCTCATTGTTTTTCAGTGATAGACCCTGTCTCAAAATAAACAAGGAAAAAAAGGTAGATGATGCCCAAGAAACACCTCACATTGTCCTCTGGCTTCCACGTGCATACCGGCACACAGAAAGTGGACGCCCTTCACTAAAAACATTTTAAAATAAGAAGTAAAGGTTTCCTTTATTCTAAGTTCTTATGACAGAGAAACGGTACTCTTTATTTATGTGTTCCTCATTTTACCTGAACCAATGGACAAAATCTAGATAATTATACTGAAACAAAGGAAAGTTCTTCTTCATAGTCTTCAGCAGATTTTAAGGATGGGCGCAGATCCTAAGACCTCAGTGCTGGAATACATTGGGTTTTATTCAACTTCAGTGTCTTAGAGCTCATTTGTTTTACATGAGATTTTACAACCTGGCCACCAGAGGCAAATAGGTAATCTTAATATGCAAATCAGTTGGATCCGTTACAGAGTGAGGTAAAAGGGAATAGTGAGGCTAGGGTCAAATTAGAGGAGAATGTGACTAAACTGAATGCCCAGTCATTTTCTGAAGACTCACAAGGAAGCAACGCCATGCTGCACAAACACAGCAAGCATGTGTCTCTGTTCTTTAAATCCCCGTGTTGCAAAGTTGGTATTCCTGGGCTTTTTGTCTTTGTAAAGAAATGGATCTTGAAGCTGAACTGTGGTGGCACTCAGGAGGCAGAGGCAGAGGCAGAGGCAGAGGCAGAGGTAGGGGGATCTTTGTGAGTTCGAGGCCAGCCTGATCTACAAAGCTGTAGGGCGAAACCCTGTTTTGGGAAAAAGAAAAAAAAAAAAAGAGATGGATCTTGAGCTGGACATGAAGCTGAATGTCAACAGCGTTTTCCTAGCAAGTGTAAGGCCCTAGATTCAGTCCCAGCATTGGGGAAATAAGAGTTTGATTCTGTGCTACTGAGGTTGCTACCCAGGGTCTAGTGTGTGTTGGGTAAATGCTCTACCACTAAGTCACATCCCCTGCCCATGACTGTCTTACTTAGCTCACACGAAGAAAACCACACGGGAAGTGGACAATTCTTCTGCAGAAGCAAATATTCACAGCCATTTTTATGTTTGGCTTATAGCTATTTAGATACCTGTGCTTTGCTTCTAATTCAAATTAATTGTTTGATATTCAAATCTGAACATGGGTTTTCCTAGTGTGTGATACAATTAGTTTTATTTTCTTGTTTGTATTTCTAAGTTTCATCTCGTTCTGGACTTTATTGTTTTAGGTTGTCTTTCTTTTGGGGAATTGGGATGAACTTCTACATGGAAATAGCAAAGATGCGAGCTGGGAGAAGACTTTGGGCTCACTTAATAGAAAAAATGTTCCAGCCTAAAAACTCCAAATCTCTTCTTCTGCGAGCACATTGCCAGACGTCAGGGTGGTCACTTACTGAGCAGGTTTGTATCTGTCTGAAAATAGAGATCTTGAATAAGGAAACGAATGTTTTCTTCTAGGCAACAGGTATAGCCCGTTTGCTAATATCTGAAACATAATGCACACTTAGGGTTTGAGTTTACACATACTGAATAGAGTTAGCTCCCTCTAGTGGGTAACTGTAAAATCATTCCTCTCTTGGCTTGTGCTTGGCTTATTTTCTTAGTATTTTAGATTAGCATACAAAGTTGTGGGTCTGTTTCATCACGTCATCTCATACACATATGGCATTATACATTGTTCTCTTCATTCCCTTCCCCCTAACCACTCCCGGTTTCCCCACTGGTTCCCTTTCTTTTCCTAGGCAGTCCCCTGTTAGACTTTTTTAAAAAATCATTTTCCTGTTTTATCCTATGTCTTTCTGTTACTTACCTTTCGTGCATGACCGCCTTTGGTTTTGTGGCCTATAAACACACTTAGATAAGCACACACACACACACACACACACACACACACACATATATATATATATATATATATATATATTTACCTTTAAATCTAGGTTCTGTGTATACGGGGAACACACAGTATCCATCCCGAATGTGGCTTACTTTGCTGAACATATGATTTCTAGTTACACCCACTTTCCTGCAAATCATAATTTCATTTGTCTTTATAGCTTCATAGGATTCTTTTGTATTTATGTATCACATTCTATTTTTATCTGTTGATAGAGATCCAGGTTGATTTTATTCCCTAACTATTATGACTATGGAACTCATAACCCTAGATGTGCAGTTATCCTGTGGTGTGTTGATTTAGAGCCCCTTGGGTGTGCGCTCAGAAGTTGTATAGCTGGGACATATGGTAGTGCCACTTTTCGGACCCTTAGGAATGTGCACGCCGATTTCTAAAGCGGCTATACAACAGTTCACGCTTTCACTGGCACTGAATAGGGCTCCTCTGTATCTTTACTGACACTTCTTGCTGTTTCTTTCCTTTTCTTGTGTCCTCTCCTTTTTTCCTATCTTTTAGTTTTTTCCTTACTGATCTAGTGTCTTACTGCTTTGTCCTGGCTGGTCTGGAACTCAATATGCAGACCTCGCTGGCCCCACTGAGCACTGGGATTACAGGCGTGTGCTGCCACACCTCGTGTCATTTGTGTTCATGAGGAGAGCCTGCCAGACTTGGGTGAAATGGAATCTTAAAGCAGTTTTAATATACATTTCCTTGTTGACTGTAAATACCTTATGTTTATCTGCTGTTTGTATTCATTCTTCTGAGGGGTTTTTTTTTTTGTCTTTATCCTTTAGTCTTTTCTGTTCTTTAGCTTGTTTAGGGATTTGGTTGCTTGGGTTTGGGGGCCTAAGTTTTACAGTTCTCAGGTTTAATTTCCTATCTGGCGTGTAGTGCAGATCTCTTATTTACCCATCTGTAGTCAGTCTCTTCACTCTGGTGGCTGCTTACTTCATTACACAGAAGCTCTTGAGTCTCATTTGTCAGTTCTTGGGATTATTTATTCTGCTAATACAGTGAAAAATTATTTGCTGATGAAGAAATAAAAATCATGTTATAATTAATACTTGTAAATAATTTTAAAGAGATACATCCTTGCATAAAACTATTTAAAATTTGATTTTATCTTAACACACATATACACTCAAATAAAAGCTGTGTTTTAAGCAAGAAAGCACACTGACAGGCCTTTAAAGACTATTATCATTTGGATAGTATAATTTAATTCCGTTAAAATTGTGTGGTGATATTTTGCTTCTTTAACCATTCATTTTTTATGTTCACTTACTATGATTTCAAGCTACATGTCCTTTCTACTGTTAATGTAGAATAACAACCAACATGTTCTTTATGACTACAGAAGAAGAGATTCTGAGCATGGAAGGAACTTTTATAATCCTACTTTAATATACTGATGTCTACAATTAAAACTGTAATCTATAGACTAGTCAACATCACCATTAGGAATATAATGAAATAGAATCCTATTTCTTAACCTAAGAATTTGCTCTTAATCAATTTAATTAGTCATTTATTAAGTGTCTACTTAGTACACATCCATTGCAGGAGACTCTGAGGTATGCAACATAATTAGGAGATTATAAATTAGGAAAAAAGATTTCTGTAATCCAAGAAAAATTATACTTCATGATATGCTCATGGGATAGTATTTAAACAATGTAAAATTGTTTGATATTTTAGAGGAATATATGAGACTGTTTTCATGCTTATACCTGGACTATACACCTTGGCTCTTAATTCATTTCTAGTTTGCTCCCTAATTTGTGTGAGTTTATTTGATATTCTGACGTCTGATGTTCGATGCATCCCCAAATTGCTTTGGACATTGGTGTAGTTACATAGTTGTTGCTTAATTAGAATGTTTCTTATAGCTCTGACGATTGTGAACTTTTTTCTTGTTTTTATTTTTGGTGAAATGTTTTAGGATCCCTACAATAACATTGTCCGAACTGCGATTGAAGCCATGGCAGCTGTATTTGGAGGGACACAGTCTTTGCATACAAATTCTTTTGATGAAGCTCTGGGATTGCCTACTGTGAAAAGTGCTCGAATTGCCCGAAACACACAAATCATCATTCAGGAAGAATCTGGGATCCCCAAAGTGGCTGATCCTTGGGGAGGATCATACATGATGGAATCCCTCACAAATGATGTTTATGAAGCTGCTCTGAAGGTCAGTTCTCCTCCTTCAACTTTGCTCTTTATATAATTTTTGACCTGTAAATAATCAGTTTTAGACTTATACTAAAATTATAAAATGTGTGTGAGGAAAGCAAAATCTATTTTGGACTTTGTAGTTTTCACTACTAAGACATTTTTAAAAGTATATTTCTGTTTCTTTGATTATACTTTATGCAATATTCAAAGATAGCTACTATTAAAAGTGCATATGCTTACATAGATGCACATACACAGAAAAACACATACATAGACAACACACATAGAGACAGGCAGACACACACAGACATATAGACACATACACAGACGGACACATGTACACAAGCATAGATAGAAACATTGACAAACAGATACACAGATGTACACAGATACAGAAACAATACACATATACACAGGCACACAGTCACACACACAGACACACACAGATGCAGACATAGACACGCCCCCCCCACACGGGGTGGGGGTGGGGAGGGGCAGTACTCTGTTTTTTTGTTTACTGGAGTAAGTAAGCTACACAGTTTTTCTTTATGTCTGTGCATTTTGTGTCATACATGCATGCACTGTTTCCTCTGATTTTGTTGGCTTTAGATGAGAGACACAATGCTTTAGACACCGTCTTCGGCTTTCCTGCTCTTTAGTATTTCAGCTGAATACCGCTTCTTCCTTTCCCCTTCCTACCAATATAATGGTATCCCGGTTTCTCCCTCCCCGTCGTATTCTCATGTTCTTACCTGCTTTGAACTGGCTTCTCTGTAGGTCTCCTGATCTTTATGGAATACAAAACCTGGATCTCATGCCTGCTATTTTGCAGCACTTCTTTTTAAAAAAAGTTATTTAATACTCATACATACATGGACTGCGTTTGGATCAAATCCACCTGCTATCTCTGCTCGAATTCTTCCCTCATCCACTTCTTCCTCCCAAATTCATGGGCTCTCTCTTAAAAAAAAAAGAAATGCACACTCGTTCCCTTTATGCTGCCTCTCTGCATGGATGCAAGTGCATGGGCTGTCAGAACCCTCCTTACAGGTAACGGTCTCTCCCTCCCCTTGTGTATACAATTGCCAGCAGCTCCTAAGATGCAGGTGGAGCTTTGAACTCCCTCCCTATCCCTACTGAGATTTGACTGGCTTCATCTTGTGCCGGTCTTTTTCGTGCAGTCCCAGACAGCCACTGCGACTATGCAATTGGATGCGCATGCCTGGAAGAACTGTTTTTCTCCAGAGATCTCCTTTCTCTACTTCTCAGAATCTTTCCACCCCCCTTCTACAATGATCACTCGAGCCCTTGAGGAAAAGACGAACGTGACGTGGACGTCACATTCAGTGTCGAGCATCCCACAGTTTGTTAGTCTCTAAGCTCTGACTAGTTGCACACCTTTCTGTTAATCTTGAAGGACTTCTCATAGAAGCTTCCTAGGAACTTGATGTGCTTGAGAGTTTCTCCATCGTGTTCTTAGCCTTGACTAGCATGGGAAGCAGAGGAAGCCCCGAGTGAATGTGTAAGGAGTGGATGGAATCCTCAGACCAGGGAGTTGACAAAGCCCCAAGTGAACGTGTAAGGAGTGGATGGAATCCTCAAACCAGGGGGTTGACAAAGCCTTCCGCTGGTCCATAGGCAGATGCTGACAGTGTGTGCAAGGCCGGAAGTGCAGCTGCTCCTTCTGGATGACTGCAGCCGAGGCTGATGCCTTAAAGACCCCACGTGGAGACGAGCACACCCCTCCTGGGCTGTACATAAAAAACACTGAGTTTCCTGGCCATTGCTCTTGACTGGTGCATTTCTTTCCACCTGAGAGCTAGGGTCCACCCCATCCCAGCTTTGCTTATGTTGACTTGTGTCTGTCTGTCTGTCTTCATCTCCTGTGTGCCCAGTCACGTTCACAAACTCCTTAGTGAGCGGCAGCAGATCTGGTTTCAAATTGTTTCCATTGGTGATCAGAATCAACTTTGTCAACACTCATCTGCTTCCCATTGCACCTTCTCACTCTTGACTCTAGTAGTTGTGATCAGAAATTTGAAGTTATTTTATTCCAGATCTTTCTTTCTGAAAGCATCAAGATCTCTTCTGATTTTTGTGTTGATGCCCATCTCATGTGCATATTTTATTCGAAATTATACTGGGGTTTTGATGATTCTCCTCCATCACATATATACATATATGATACCACCTTTTGTTTTTCAGATTAAAAGTAGAATTGCATTTTGACGTGTATTTTTTTTAAAGAGTCATAAACCTTGAAAACCTTGTTAATGTAAAAATAAAGTAAAAATAAAGGCTAGAGAACTGGAGTTATTGTTGGCCTTTCCCCACAAGACGTGACTGAGAAATTTCAGGTTTTCCAGACTATACTTTAAAGTTTTTCTTTTGTCTTTTTAGATAGCTTTAAGCATGCAGCTTCTAATTATTTCCCTTGTACTTAATTAATTACTTTTCTATAAAGTATTAACTTTTGGCTTGTAATTTGCATGTTGTTAGGGGATATATAAAATACAAGGCTAGGGTGAATGCCTTATCTCCTATTTTTACTAGCCTTTTGTCCTTTTTCCTTTTGTTTTCTCTCTCTTTCTCTCTTCTCTTCCTTAGATCATAAATGAAGTTGAAGAAATGGGGGGAATGGCCAAAGCTGTAGCTGAAGGAATACCTAAGCTTCGCATTGAAGAATGCGCTGCCCGAAGACAAGCTAGAATAGATTCTGGTAAGAGAGAAGAGAAAGATTTGTATATTTCAATAATTAAGGAGGACTGCTAGTTTCTGTCGGTGGATACCATTCACAACTGATACAAATATATCTTAAAATGAAATAACAATGTAAAAATAGGGCTTTAATAAAATATTTCTCATATCTTCAAATCCAAATATATTTGTATGTCTGTATCTTGTGTCTTTGTATTCTTGCGAGCACACAGGGAAGCATATATCTACTTCTAACTTAGATGTGCATATGTGAGTGATGACCAATGGCAGTATTAAGGATAGCATGCTTGACAGTCCTTGTGTTCTCCATGGAAGAATTCACTCATTCACTCTGGGGATACTTTTTGGTATTCTCTGTTTGAGTTGCTTGCTGTGGCTGCACTTGTAGCTGTGAAAAGGACAGACATGAACTCTTTTGAGTATAGAGATTTCATTACAGTGCAAAAAAGGAACCGAACATGTAAAGAAACTAAGTAATTACTGATGATGCTAAGTTCTGTGAAGGAACTAAGGAGTGTAAACTGGAATGCAATGGTAAGTCACCTGTAGATGCAAGAAAGTATGCTCATAATATTGATCCATTACCGACATATTTAAAACTGTTTATCTTTTCATTTAACAACTAGCTGTAAGAAAATTCTAGAAAATACTAGAAAGATATAGGGCATTGCTACTCTTGTTGCTTTCTAAGTCTGTCCTGACTGTCCTTGCAGAGAACCCATCACATGAATGTGTAACTGTTCTCTCCACCTCACATGTGTCCCAAGATGGAGTTTCTGCATTATGCTGAAGTTTGTTATGAGATAAGAGTGCTACTTAAAAAAAAGTAACTTATAAAAATATGTGACAACCTGAGCATTTCCAATAGGGGATAATTTATGAGTAGATTAACATGGTATTTTCCTTTGGACAATCAATAGGTTCTGAAGTCATTGTTGGAGTAAATAAGTATCAGTTGGAGAAAGAAGACTCTGTAGAAGTCCTGGCCATTGACAATACTTCAGTGCGTAAGAAGCAGATTGAGAAACTTAAGAAGGTATTGTTGACTGTTATTTGATAAGTAAGTCCTGAGTTCTTACCTGATCCACATAGCTTGTGTAATATCTGGAAGAGGTCAATATTACTTCTCATTCTTTTAAAGGGTAAGACATTGGGAAATTTGTTTGGAATAAATAATTGGGCAATCATGACTCAGTCTAGGTTTCTTAATACTCTAGTGCTGATGTCACAAAGTAAGAACACGGTGTAGCTTAGGTTTAGTGAATTGAGTCAGGGGCTCTCATTGTAATGTTTCCTCCACTAGACCATGGCTCATTTGCTTTCTGATTTGTCAAACTGTCTTTGCTAGCAACTTTGTAAGCTTCAGTGTTTAGGGAGCTTTTTGCAGTTTTCTGGAGTATGCTCTGTTTTCATCTTGGTGAGCACCATGCTTCTGTTTTATTTCACTTTCTTTCTGAAATGTCATATGAAAGTAGACAAAACATTCATAGTTGTCACATATATTCTACTATCTGAAGCTGCCTTGTCTCCTAACCTGTAGCTTTTGTCATCACAAGCAAACCAACCAACCAACCAATCAACCAACCAACCAACCCCTTTTGATTTTTTTCTTCACTTACTTTCCCTGATTAAGAATAAACCTTTCCTTTCTTAGTTCAAACATTCTATAAAGACTAAATCGACTTTTTATAAAAGATGATATGGAATTCTTTGCAGATATTTAGGGACCTCTTTTCCATTTTCCAACTTAATCTAAACCAAGTGTCACATTTTATCTTGAAATGCTCTGTTTAGCAAGGATCCGTATGTCCCCAGGAGTCACAGAGTCTCAGTATTTGCTACAACTGGAAACCTTTGATTCTTGTACTTTAGTTCCCTGTTAACTATATACTTTCAAGGCTTGGAACAACCCATTTGCCATAAACTACCCCAAACCTTACTGGGGCAAGAGAAACTCAGCTTCTGGAGAAAAGGAAGGCTCTGCTGTAGCCTTTCAAGCATTTAAACCTAGAATAACTCCTAGAACCATGACAAATCAGACTTCTTCCAGTACAAAAATTAACTTTCACTTTAGTTAAAATCAATTTAATGTGTTTCTGCTGTGGTTCCCTGAGCTCATTTTAGTACTGGGTTAAAGTTTATATTTTCTCAGGTTTCCTTAGAAGTAGATATAACAGTGTTTGCCTGTTAGTACACCCGCCACCCCCATGCCCCAAGGCTGAACCACCTCAATACTAACTTTCTGTTGAATTTTTCTTCAGTCCCTAATCCTACTTCATTTAGCATGTCATTTTTTACTTCAGTTCCTAATCCCAGTTAATTTTAGCATGTAATTTTTACTCTTTGAATTTTAGTCCTCCTCTGTCCTGGTAATTCTAACTATCTACTTACTCTAAGGAGTACTAGTGTTTTGGTGAACTTGGAAAGGCAAACTTTCCAGGCCTTGTCTCAAGTACCACCCTACCTAAGAAACTCGTAGTCATTCCTACCCAAAAACCTGCTGGCTCCAGTCTCTGCTCAGTCACTTTTTCAGTCTAATCTGCTTTATTTCTTCTGTTACATTAGATATCACTTGTTTATTTGCTTATTGTTTTTTCTTAAAAATTCAGGAATAAAATATCAGGAGGGCATGGGCATTGTTTCATTTGTTAATATAATCGATCACCATAACTATAGTAAAACTGCCAGTAATTGCTACTTAATTAATATTTGCCTATTTTAATTGAAAAATTATGCCCATGAAAACTTTTGCTGGAGCTGAATCCCTTAGAATTCCATGAACTTAAGACTAACCCTGGTTTTGGATCATAATTGCTGAAAATACATGTTAGGGATCGAATTGGTAAGCCATTCTGGCTATAAGTATAGCTCCTACTTGCAGACGTTCTTATTTCCTGCAATAATTACTCTGCATTCTTTTTATTACTGCTTCTTCTGTAGTACTAAGATGTATTGTGTGTCTGTGCTATGCCAGCAGTCATGTTAGACACACACTTTCTTCACTTAATTTTGTTAGGAGTCATATTATTCTTTTTATCAATCCAATCTGACAGGAAGCAGGTCAGGAGGGATGTCTGAATTTTTTTAAGTGAATGTCAGATGGAGGTTGAGTAAATTTCTGTGCCTATTTGCTTCATTCTAACCCTAGTGTATTTCCAGCGTTTTTGACTGTAACTCTAAGCAAAAGGTGCATTTTCCCTAATGCCTAGCTATACACACCCCGTGAATGCACCTGTTATGAAGATAAGTTTCTGCAAACAATATTCTTATAAACTGTTCTCCATGCTTTTAGATGCTTTCTATTCTGTTTAAACTATAAAAAGGCTTATCACAGTTATTCTGCTCCATCACACTGTGTGCAGTGCATTAGACATCATAACTCAGAAGTACCACACTCTAGCATGCTTTTTTTTTACATGGAAAATTCAGATTTAAAACATGTAGCCATGTAATAGCAAAAAATAAGCTTTTCCTTTTTGAAGAGGATTTCGAATTGAGTTTTTCCTTGCTATAATACACACTTTCCATTCATCTCTGATAACAGATGATATATCTCAGTGGCAACATGGGAAGTATCATAGTTTGGACTCTTTTTGTAGAAGGTGCAGTTTGTGAGACTTGGGCTTGAGTACTGTTAATTGTACAAGTGTTGACAAAGCACAGTAGAGCTGGGACCTGAGGGGACATGGTTTTAGCCATACTTTCTATTGTTTTTCTTTCTTGCTCTCTTTCTGTCTCCAGCAAGGTCTCTTCTTAGAATGATTTTTAAATAAAAAGAATAGTAGTATGTATTATGGAAGGCATGTTGTCAGTCATTTAAAGGATACTTCTGGTACAGTTAAACTCCCCTGTAAGCCTCCGTCTAGTCTCCTTCCCACTGTTCATTGTGAGGGGTTTTAGCATTCCCCTGTGAAGGGCCCACCTATTTTCCTTGTGTTGTCCCTTCAGAAAAGCCTGGGTAAGTATTTGGAAAGTTACCACTCTGCTTGCTTCTGATTTGCTGACTTTGTGCTAAATCAGAAATATTTTACAGAATCCAGAATAAATGAGTTAAAAATGAACATACTTTTAGGTTGAATATTATTCTATTCCATTGCTTCTCCCTTTTTTGAGGTGAAGATTATGGAATTTGGTCAATAGCGTATGTGCCAGGGTTTAATCTTTTTTTTTTTTTTTTTTTTTGGTTTTTCGAGACAGGGTTTCCCTGTATTGTTTTGGAGGCTGTCCTGGGACTCGCTTTGTAGACCAGGCTGGCTTCGAACTCACAGAGATCCGCCTGCCACTGCCTCCCGAGTGCTGGGATTAAAGGCGTGGGCCACCAACGCCCGGCGCCAGGGTTTAATCTTGTAGTACTTATTTTATTACTCTTTCTCACAAAGCTGTCCCTTCTCTTCTTTCTAAGATCAAGTCCAGCAGGGATCAAGCTTTGGCTGAGCGGTGTCTCGAGGCACTTACCCAGTGTGCTGCCACCGGAGATGGCAATATCTTGGCTCTAGCTGTGGATGCAGCTCGTGCAAGGTGAATATGTGCGAGTTTGCAGATTTCCAAATAATGACAGTATGCCCAACTTAGCTTTTCAGAGGGTACTCAAATCAAACATCATTTCTGTAAATTCTGTGAGCCCAAAGGAGAATAATGAAACTATTAGAAACTTTATACTGTTCATTTCAGTACTTATTAGTATTTAACATACCAATATTCTTTGAGGGACATTAGTAGTAGTGTAATTCACTGTAGCTCAGAACACTTGGCACTATTATAATGCATAAGTTTCTTTGATTTGTAGGCTGAGATCTGATATACTCAGTTGTATGATCAAGGCTGTGTGTACATCCTTGACATAGATAGTCTTTGGAGGAAAGAGGGGAACCTCTTATCTGGTAATTGGTAAAAAAAAAAGTTATTGTCATGCCATTGCCTTTTAATCATTAATCAGGAAGCAACCAGCTGAATAAACGACCCCTAACACTAATCCTTTCTTCTTTGTTGCTAGATAAATCTAGTGTTGTAAGATGAAAATAGAGGGAAGGATGAGAAGGCGGGGAGGGATGGCAAGAGAGTACGTGTGGATTTGTTTTTACTCTCTTCTTTTGTGTTGATGTCATGGCCTAGCTCATAGTTCCTCCCGTGGTTTTCTTGAGTTCATCACTCTCCTTGGTTGAAACACACTGAAAGATTGATTTCTCACCAGAAAATATCAGTGCTACTTTTACTCTACCTGCTTGTATTGATAAATGAGATATTGTTGAGTTGCCTTCAGATACTTACTGATTTGTAACTTCAGGTTACTTAGTCTTTATTTGGTTGACAGATATTATAAAGGGATTACAGTGCAGACCCGCACCAAGAGTCACTTTTATATTAAGTATTCTCAGGAAAGATGCTTTCATAGTATCTTAAAAACATTCTTGAGTTTTTTTACAGCCCACTTTTTATTTATTAACAAAATATTCGAAATGTGTTGATTATTGAGGTAAACATTTATCTATTCATTGTTAATTAATGCTCTCCCTGGCACCTCTTTTTAATATTGTAGATGTACAGTTGGGGAAATCACAGATGCTTTGAAAAAGATTTTTGGTGAGCATAAAGCTAATGATCGTATGGTGAGTGGAGCATATCGGCAGGAGTTTGGAGAAAGTAAAGAGATAACATCTGTCATCAAGAGGTAGGTACTACGTAAAACCAAAAAAAAAAAAGAACCCTTTGCTGGGCGGTGGTGGTACATGCCTTTAATCCCAGCACTCAGGAGGCAGAGGCAGGCGGATCTCTGTGAGTTCGAGGCCGGGCTGGACCGACAGCCTCCAAAACAATACAGAGAAACCCTGTCTCGTAAAAAAAAAAAAAAAAAGAGGTAGGTACTATGTGTGAGCTTTAGTGAGCTCTGGTCTCATCTTCATGTTAATACAGTTCTCTTGAATCTGCTGATGCCTTACTGTCTTGCTACCTGGGAAATACATTGACTTTTCTACTAGTCTCTTATTCTTATAAAATGAATAAATATTTAATAATATGTAATAAACAGTTAATCTATAATTTATAGTTTTTACATAATTTATTATTCATAACTATAATTATAAATATGCAGTCTTGTGCTAGTATGTGAAACTTTGATATTTTGATCAACCATAGATTACAATGGCGATCCTGTAAGATTATAATAATGCTAATTCCTGTCTCCCATTGGTATTGTACCTAGGGATGTGTAGCCATGGTCACAGTCATGCGTTTATGGTGACACTGCTATACACCTGTACTCTGCTAGCTATGTATAAGTAGAGCACTTGCCATCATGTACAGTATGTGATAACTAACGATAATAAACAATGCTGTTACTTGCTTGCTGTTCTTTTAATTTTTAGTTTAGAGTGTACTCTCCCTGCTCATAGAAATGGTGTACTGCCACGCGGTATGCAGGCTGCAAGCAGACTCACATGCTTCTGCTTGCTGCATCTTAATTGCAATGTTTTCTCCTGAAGTCGATTTAATTTTGTGTTTCTTTTTCAACACCTGTAGCAACAGAAAGCTCTCTCTCTCTCTCTCTCTCTCTCTCTCTCTCTCTCTCTCTCTCTCACACACACACACACACACACACACCATAGAGCCTAGATGTGTAGTAAGCTGTACCACTAAGCTTATATATATTGTATAATGTTTGCATATTGACAAAGCCACCTCATCATGTGTTTCTCTGAAGATGTCTTGGCCATTTAATAATTTATGACTATAGTGAATTATATATAATTCCATGAAATATGCCGACTAATGAGAATGAAATTAAATATTAAAACTCATATTCATTTAGCAAAATGAGTACTGTTTTTGTCTTGCACCATAGTCGGCATTAGAAGTTTCTCATTTTAAACACTTGTTTATTTAACTGATACTGATATTGCTTCCTATCCACAGGTGGAGAGCTTAAAATCATGTTGCTATAGACTTTCATAACTTTTTTCACATGGTTCAGTTGCTTGAATAGTTCAAAGTTAACTTTCCCATTTGAAAAATGAACACCTGGCTGCTACCTATGCAAAATGTAAAATCAGTCTTCATTGAGATGACAGTGAGGACTATTGCCACCGCCTGACATGAAGTTGTAATATGATTCGTTTCCTGAGTGTAATACTGACTGCTGAGTGATTGATGTTTTCAGCTTGTGTAACACACTTCTTCTAAAAACTGTGTTTACTCTTACACACTGTGTCACTAAATGTTAAATAGCCAATGTAAGAGTCATCAGAAGGAACCTTTTTTTAAAAATAAAAATTGATGTTGTGTTTTGTCATTTTATACACACAAGCATTCTGGTTATGTATCATCACAATGGGCCACATTGTATGGTAATACTGGCTTCAGAGAATGAGTGTGGTAGTGTTTCTCCCCACTGTGTTTTATGGAGCAATTTGAAGAGCGCTGGTGTTAGCTTTTCTCTGAAGGATTGGTAGAGCTTTGCAGTGAACTCTCCAGTCCCAAGCTGTTCTTTCTTGGGAGACTGTTGTCTGCTGTAGATCAATCAGGTGTTTGTCCTTTGATTTAATTTTAGTAGGCCATAGTTGTCTAGGAATTATCCGTTCTTGGGGTGGTGGGCTCACAGGCTGTGCCATCTTTCAAACTTGGCTCTGAACAGAAGATAACCATATTCAAGGCTTGCATAGCATTCCCTCCGTTAAACACAGATATCAATGAGATGCACATTAGTGGACATTCTTAAACTATTGATGTGGGTAAATTGCAGTTCTTATATCTTACACTCGGATAGTTAATATTTAACTATTATTGCCTTTTAAAATGTCCCCAGAGTTAGTAAATTCATGGAACGTGAAGGTCGCAGACCCCGTCTTCTTGTGGCAAAAATGGGACAAGATGGCCATGATAGAGGAGCCAAGGTCATTGCTACAGGATTTGCTGATCTTGGTTTTGATGTGGACATAGGCCCTCTTTTTCAGGTATGTACCACATTTAGAAAAAGTAAAGTAAATGTTAATAGCCAAAGTGATGTTTTTAAAGCTATTTTCAAAAAGTCCAACAAATTCTATATTTTCTAATGTGTATAATCCATTTAATTTATAATTAAAAGACAAAAAATTCATGTTAACTCAGACTTTTATGAAAATAAATGTCCACTGAGAATGAAATGTTATGAGACTTTGGAGAGTGAAGTTTACCATAAAGGTTCTATTATTGTATTTCTTGAGTGTGATTGAAATTTTGTGGTTCACAAAGATGACCTTGAAGATTTCTTCGGGAGATTTTTTGTTCTAAAGTAGATTTAGTTGGTAAATTCCCGTCCTAGAAGCACATACAGGATTGGTTGGGCATTGCATCAGTAGCTTCGCTACAATCTTACAATGAGCGAGCAGGAAGTGACAGTAAGAATTGTGTTGCCTTACGTATCCCAGTACTTTGCTTCCCTGTACCTGCTGATAACCAGAGACTTGTCTGCTTCTGTGTGCTCAGACTCCCCGGGAAGTGGCTCAGCAGGCCGTGGATGCAGATGTGCATACTGTGGGCGTCAGCACGCTTGCTGCTGGTCACAAAACCCTCGTCCCTGAGCTGATCAAAGAACTGGCTGCCTTGGGACGGCCAGATATCATTGTCACGTGTGGAGGCGTGATTCCACCACAGGTATTTTTCTTCATAATTTTCTGCACATAGGTACATGTATACATGCACATACATAGACACTTGCACACAAGTTTTGACTGGAGTTACTAACAGGAGCAGGCGTGACTCAAAAGCAGATGCATTACCAAAGAGCCCACCCTGACACTGGTGAAGACTTAAGAAGGCTGCCTCCCTGGAGCTCTCTGCAGGACTTAGGCAGCTTAGTCAATCAGGTTCAGAAGAATCTCCCCATTGCAGCTCTGTTGGTCACTCTCCTCATCACTGCTTCTGTAGCCTTGGGGTGGGGTGCTTGTGAATCTTGTAAGTTTCAGCTGTCCCAGACGTATGAACATTTTTTTCTTCCTGAGTCTCAGGGATTTCTTTGCTTCTTCCTTGAAGGAAGGTTTCAGTAATTCAGAGAAAATTGCTATGTAAAACAACACATATACACTACCACCTGCCATGCCTATGTATCAGGCTATGAAACTGGAGAAAATGTAGGGCTGACACACGCACAGATAGATAGATAGAATAGACAGACAGACAGACAGACAGACAGATAGATGACAGACAGACAGACAGATAAATAGGCATATTTCTAAGGATGAATTTATTTTAGATGTATAGGCAAATTATATCCTGGTGATTTCACTAGGTAAATTCTGCAGACAGTGGGCACTGTTATTAAAGCTATATTTTAATTTATTATATAGCATTTAATTTAACTCTTTACAAAACTTATATGAGAAAACTACCAGGAGCTTCTAATTGCTATCTACCATCTTCATATCCAGTGAACAGTTACAGGGAGACTTGGATAAGAACAATGGGGTTCACAATAGAGGGGGAAACATGATATAAATGCCGCGTGTCTGTCCAATTCTGGACAGCAGTCTGGTGGCTTTAGATGGGTCTTTTATGTAGCTTGCATCTATTAGAGGGTCACTCCTCCATTTCTTCAATAACCCCATCCCTGAATGTTGCTCTACCCCAGAGTTTTGCCATTTGCATAAACTCCTTTACTAGTGAAAAGATTCTGACTGAAGTAGTTTTTCTGGAGTGAAAAATACCATACTGCTAGCACCTGGAATCAGCTTGACCTGAGCATTATAGGGTTAGGGAGAGGAAGTAGATATTCAAAAAATTTGAGTTTTCTTAATGGAGAAATGGACAATGTCAATTAATTATTAATGAGGGGATAAGTCACAACCCTGTGATACTACTGTTAGTTTAGAAGAATTACTTAAGATGTAAAAAAGGCCTATTCCCTAGGGCTTCCAATGATAACCGCTTTTCATTTTTAATTAAGATTAGGAAAAAAAATGGCTATGAGTAATTAGGAAAGCAAATGTTTGTAGGTATTGCCAAGACCCCACTACAGTATCCATCAGGAAAATATGCTTTTCATCTAGATGTATAATCTTTATTCCTCCATTACAGCTCACTAAATAGCATGGTGAATTTGTACATTGTTAAGAAATAAAAAAATATATATGCATGAGGCTGGGAGATTGGCAGTGATGCAGTGAGTAACTTGGATATTGTTTTCTTCCTACATCAATAAGGTTTTTAATATGACATAGTCAACATGAAAACATTTTTATTAATATACTTTTCCTATACTCCCAAGTGTAATTTATTTTTAGGAAAGAAGACCAATTTATTTGTATATTTTTTGTTTCTTGATACGGGGGTCTCAGTATATTGGCTAGATTATCACAAACTCCTTATCTCAAGCAGTCCTCCTATGTCAATCACAGGCACATACTACACTTCATTAATAAGGGCTATTATTCTTTAAGATTGCCTGTCTATGAAATAATTTATATATCTTGCAGCTATGGAAGCTAAGGCATGATATTACAATGTACGAATTAAAATAATTAACCAGTGGAAGATAGTTGGATTTAAGTAAGAGTTAAGAAAACAAATTAAATATGCCATGTGAATAAGCTGATATTTTCAAGAAATGTATTTCAAGTCACACTGACTTCTTTGATGGAGTCACTGAGAACATCTTTAACTGTTTGCTGTACTTTACTATAAGGTTACGACCAAGCATGGCTGCTTTCTCTGACACACTTCTGTGTAGTACGGGTAGCCTTTATTAGGTAATGAAAATAGTCAGATACTCATATGCTTATTAGTTTTCTGCTGCTGTAGCAAATATCCAAGATAACCCACTTTCAAAGTGAAAAAGCTTTTAACTCACAGATTTGGAGATTTCAGTTCATTGTCAATTGCTCCTGTTGCTTTGGGGTCTACAAGGAAAGCATCGAGAAGATGATTTATTTACCTCAGGGTCCAACATGAAGTGACCCAAGACTCCAACCTGACCCCGCCTGTGGCACTTCAGCACCATGCATACAGTCATGAAAAGGTCTGGGTACAGTCCTTTAACGTGCAGGCCTTGGGGGACCCTGATCAAACTATAGTACAGGGTATATGTGAAACACTGCTGTTACGCGACTCAAAGGCACTTAGTTACTGAACTAGAAAGTGTGTCACAGAGTGTTGCATTTACAGTTTCTTTAATCTGATTAAACACCAAAGTAACGTGTATTCTTCCTGCCAGCCTGGTGCCAGAGCTGTGTCAGTTCCAAATGAACAAGCAGGACACTATATTAATTATGAAGCTATTGGCTGTTTGCTATGGTTTCTTAATGGCTAGCTCTGACTTAATTGTTAACCCATAATTACTAATATATATTTTTATAAGGTCTTATCTTACCGAGGATGCCAGACTTGCATCCTCTCCTCCTGGGACCACATGTTGACCTTCTACTCTTGACTACATTTCCCAGAATCCTCCTCGACTCCTAGTCCCAACTATCTTGCTTCCCTATTGACCAATAGTGCTTTATTTATCAATCAATCAGACAAACATATACACAGATGGACTTCCCCATCACACCAAATTGAAACATGTAGCGTTTACAGTTTCTGCAGTGTGATTAGACATGCCCATCTTCACTACTTTGCCGCTCAGCCAGGATCTTGTCTTCTTTGTGTCAGTGAGTGAACAAACAGATCCTACTCACACTGTAAAGCATGATTTTCCTGGCCTAGTGTGGTGAAGACCTTGTGAGTACCTTTGTATTTGGAGATTATTCTAAGTTAATACCTAAGGTGCAAAAATAAAAACAGCATAAATAATACCTATGTGCTCTTTGCCCACATTCAGGTCTTGCTAACTTTTAACCCACCCACTAGGGTACATTTTACAAAGCTCCTGTGAGATGTAGGCAAGTCAGACCTTCTTTTGAGTTGCAGAATTTCAGTACTGAACACCCCTTTCCACATAGTAGCTTAGATGTGAGGATGATGTCTTGGAATGCTTGGTTATTAGGAAATAAAAGAAGACAGCCTCTCAATCCTCCTGTTCTCAACTTGGAGCTGATTGTTACCAGATACTTCAGTCATTCTTATGGGCTCTTGAAACACGTAGCATCTGCTCTCTCAGTGATGTGTTTTCAATGCTTATCGGTCCAGGGCTGTGTTCTCAGAAACTCAGGCAAGAAGGACACAGTTTCAGGAGTATGTGTTAAATGCTATTGCAAAAAAAATCTATTAGAAGAATAGTTCAAAGGTAGGAAGGGATACTTGGCAGATAATTGGTTTGATTTGTAATTTAGTGGCTAGTTTTGATCATTTGAAAATGGTAGAAAAAGACTACTGTTGAAACAATTAAACACAGACTAGACCATCTGACCTGTATGGTAAGGGTCAAACCTCACAGCATACACTAAATGTGCTATTATAGCTAAATATGTTCTGTTGTTAATGCATCCTAAAGTCTGTGGAAGTACTTGTGCCCTAGGAACCCTTACACTAAACCATTAGCTGTCACTAAAATAAGCTAATGACTTCAGCAGCAGCACCGAAGAACTACCGGTCTTCATAAACAGACAACCTGATTTATCATGAGGCCAGATTCAAAGTATCACTGTTCACTAGTGACAGATCCATGTCCAGGAGAAAGTAAAGAGATTTTTAAACTCAGAAAACACAGAGAATGGTAAGCAGTAAGGATTTAGAAGAGAGAAAAAGTAGGTTTTAAAAAAGTGCAGTTCCTTCCTTGTTAGGGCCACATAGCTTCACATCGCAGACCGTACCGGGCAGGGTTCATTTAGACTTGGGGTCTGAGCACAGTGGTGCTGGTTATTATTAGCTGCCCAGTGGAGAAAGGCATCTGTTTCAACTTCATATGCAAGCAGTGTCCCAGCTGAGAAAGCGTTTGGCATTGGTGAAGAAGTAAGGAAAAGGTATACACACTCACGCAAGAACATATGTGTAAAGTATGTTTCTTTGAAGTTGAAATCGTGTCTCTATTAATCAAGCAAATATGTTCAACAGGATTATGAATTTCTATATGAAGTTGGTGTTTCCAATATATTTGGTCCTGGCACCCGGATTCCCAAAGCCGCCATGCAAGTACTTGATGATATTGAGAAGTGTTTGGCAGAGAAACAGCAATCTATGTAACATGTGGCTCTTTAGTTATTACCAAAGAAGAGTAAAGCTGTGTCTTCAGGTAATTCCAACACCTGTCAATGTGCCTGACTTGGCAGCCCTGCAGTAAAAGACCCACATTATAAACATGATGTCATGCTAATACACACATTTGAAGAGTCTGAGTTTAAAAATAAAATTCTCTAAAAGCCATTTACACCGAATATCTCTCAGATACATTATTTTGAAAATTACAATGGTACACTGCTTAGAAATAACTAATAATACAAGTACTTATAAATAATTAAACTTTTTTTTTTGAGACAGAGTTTCACTATGTAACTCTGGCTATTTTGTAAACTCACTATGTAGACCAGGCTGTTCTCAAACTCACAGAGATCCACCTGCCTCTGCCATCCTAGTGCTGGGATTAAAGGCATGTGCTAACATACCAGGCAAATAATTAAACTCTACATGTACAGATTTGATTGATGCCTTCTGTCAATTTTGTGCTGATTGGAGTACTGGAAACTTAAGTTCCTGTGTTAATGTAGTGATAAAATATTAACATTTATCTCAGAAGAAAGAGTGGAGGGCATTTGCGTGTGGAAATAGATTGAGGTTATGATCCTCAGCAGATCTACCATTGCTTCAGTTAAAGTATTGCTTCATACCCTGCTTGATGGAATAGGGGGCAAAGACAGATCTGCCTTCCAGGAATGTTCAGTTCCTCCTCAGCGTGAGAATGTGATGTCTTTAATGCCAGACTTGGCTCAGGACTCAGGAAAAGGATGTTTGTGAACACTTGCTTAAACGAAGTGGATTCATGTGGATTCTTCTGGAATGGTGATCTAAGTCTATTACACAAAATAAGTATGTCTTCAGATCTACAACATGCTGATTTGTGTACATTTATTATTAAGGTCACAAAAATAAAAATAGTTCATGGAACCCTTGTAGTGTGATGTTAAAGAATTCATTCAGTAAAGGAAGAGAATCGGTCTTTGTTAGCAAATGGAGTTCAATGGAGGTGAAGTAAGTAATGAGGATTCCTTTGTAAATTTCTGTATCATACATCAGATAGTAGGGTTTGGAGGGCATAATCATATATTGCTATAGAATTAAACTGCATTGTAATACAGTTTAATTTTCAGAATCCGACTCTTGGGAGGGCATCTTGATTATTGTTTTCATTTCAGAGATGAGCAGTTTGACTTCAACATCAGCAGTGTATTCATTGGGTCATCTTGTAATTTTTACATAAAGAAATACATATTCAATAAATATTTTGTTCCTGGGATGTGTTCCATTAGGTGCTTGGTGTTTTATATATTTACAGTTCCTGACATTTCTATTTAAGGATCACTTTGATAAAAATAGTCATCAAAAGATGCCAGATTTTATGTTTATTATGTGTTTTTTTAACCCAAACCCTAATTCAATTGTGGGAACACCAGACCTTCAGCAGAGACCCACTTCCCCTTCTGCCTGGGAGTAGGCAGCTGTAAGACAATGTTTGGTAAAAACATGTTTACTAAAAACGATACAATAAGTTCCTGGCCACTTCCCCTTCTGCCTGGGAGTAGGCAGCTGTAAGACAATGTTTAGTAAAAACATGTTTACTAAAAACGATACAATAAGTTCCTGGGAAAGGCCTTCCCACGGAAACCGCCCTGACCTTGACCTTGTCCAAAGACTAACCGCACCTTCAAAAACCCACACACATCCACCTCTGGTGTCAGAGCAGAACCAGCCAGGGGAGAGGAGAGAGCAGAAGCTTCTCTGGTGGGAGCTTTTTCTTAGGAAGTTTTTCTTGAACCTTTTTGGAGCCTGTTTAAAGTTTTCTTTATATCATTGAATGAGTCTCTGTGTTTTCAATACCCGACACCTTCCACACGTTCTCAGACACAGGCCGTGCAGCAGACGTGACATTCAATAGAATCAATAATTTCACTATTTGAAAATATTTCCTGTAGTACCCAGAAACATGATGCATAGGTGGTGAACCTGGCCTTATTCTGGAGTGTTTATCATTATTGTATGTAGAAAATGCCAGCATTTAAACATTTTACTATTCGTTTATTTTAGAAATTCCAAAGGAAATTTCCTGTCTAATTTTTCTGTCTTTGCATCCAAACCTCTGTGTTTACCAATAAGCACTTTTGGAATTAAACAGTGACCAAGTATAAAAAGAAAGTGAATGTTCCACGGTCTTCACATATTATAAAATAAAAAAAGATCAGGAAGGCATCTGCCGCCTTATATCTTCCTGATGCGAGCTGGAATCAAAACAGAAGGTTTTAGTGATATTATGAAGCACGTCCAAAATACACTGCTAAGAGAGATTTTCTTTACTGAGATACCTGAGTCAAAGGTCTGTGCCACTACCAGCTGCTAAAGAAATGTTCATAGCCACATCCTGGCCCCATCATTCACCTGTGACTAAATTTTGGTTTTGTGAACCATAGTATGGGCAAAGGTGATGAAATCATATGCCATGTAGCATAGAACAAACATCTTTAAGTATGTACAGATAAAGGATAAACAGTAGACCCTTGAGCACACAGTGTGGAACTACAGAGATAAGAAAACGTGTATCAGTTAGGGTTTAATGAGAACAATCACCAGGGACAGCGACATATGCTTTATGATTTAGTATGAGGAGTTTACTTACACAACTGAACAAAACATACAAAAGGCCACAAGGAGGCTGCTGTTGTCAGGCACAAGCTGGGGCATGCTCTCTGCAAGTAGGCAGTCAGGAAGGAGACAACAGGGTTCTGGGAGAGCAGCTGCAGGTTCAGCCACTGTTTGGAGTCTATCGAGGAGTGGCTTTGGGCCTCCTTCTAAGAGTGGGTCTAATGAGTGGGTCTAGTGGGCCATTCAAGATCATCTCTCATTTGATTAAAGTCAGCTGAATAAGAGCTTGAGTTATAACATAAAGTTCTTTCTCAGTATCATTAAAGATTCAGGAATGATTGATGTAGAGTGTGTTGTGTGTGTGTGTGTGTGTGTGTGTGTGTGTGTACACGTGTACCTGTCTGTCAGTTTGTATGCATGCATGCCACAGAACTGACTTTTACCTTTCTACCATAACATCAAGTGCCTAACCCTGGAAGCCACCTAATTAGGGATACGGTATTAGTAGTTAGAGGATGTTTTCATATTCCTACATGGAGAAAGGCACACGAGCCAGAGATTCATACTTGTCCATGTTTGCTATTCAACATGGCAGCCCCACATGTAGAAACAAATATATATTTGGTAAGGGAAACATTGAGGAAGAATGACTCTGGTGCTGATTCAAACAGGTTTTCTTCAAGGTATTTGGAAATGTTCTTCCTCAAAACCAGTCATTAAAAAATACTCTTATTCTGAGAGTTCCTTTCATGTTACTACTGAACGTGTCACGGCGAGGATTTGTAAGAGTGTGGTTAGGATCCAGCCCCAGCTCTGCCCTCCTTCCACAGATACCCCATACACCCAGTAACAGGCAACTCATGCTGGGAGTCCTTACGGGCAAAGCTCGTTCCCATAAAAAGAAAAGCCACATTTCCTGATTTCCTGATCCTAGCCTCTCTGTCTGGGGACTAGGGAGCCCGACTGCAAGCTCTTGTGTGAAACCTCTCCCATCTTCAGAAAGCTGTGAGAACAGGCCTCCATTTCTACCCATCATGCTGTTTGTCTCTGGTGATGGGACCTGAACTCTCCTCAAAGCCCTCACCATGTTGTTGCTCCTGTGTGTGTCACAGTATTAGCAATTTTTCTGATAAACACTTTATTCCTCGGTAGCCCACCTAGATATGCCTTGGAAAACTGCCCCATCTAAAACCTACCAAGTTTGAACGGTGATGAAAGCCTTCACCACATGGAATATGTGCAACTTTGCCTTTTCTGGTCAAGATGGAGCTAATGAATGTACAAGCACCTGATTCAATTCTTTATTTTTAAATTTTGTCAGGAGGAGGCAAGAATAGCTTTGCATTTGTTAATGGGGGTATGGTATAATGTTTTGTTAAATGCATAACCTTTTTGTGGTTCTAACAATGTAATTAGCATATTCATCACCTTGAATTTCCATCATTCCTTTATAACAAAGACATAAAAATCCTCTTTTAAATGTCGTTTTAAAAAGTAAACTTCATAGAAGTTGAGAGAGGAGGAGTGGCTGTGCCAAGACCGAGGAGAGCTGGGGTAAAGGACGGGAAGTTGCTTAACCAGCATAACATGGAAGTGAGATAGGATGGATATGGTGTAGGCTCTTAGAGCTTCAGTTTCAAGTGGTACTCCAAGGATTTGAGTGTAATGCATTTATTAACTGTGGCTGGGGTTAGATCAAGCTCTTCCCAGTCCTATGCAAGCATCCTGTTTGCTGGTTTTCCTTTGACCGTGTTTCCTTGCCTGGAATTACAACTTTCATGGGTAGTGAGGTCTTCCTTGGTTACTTCTCTGAGAAGTAACTCCTTTCCTGATATTCTGTCCTGCAGATCCCAGTTGCCTTGTCCATTTGAACTCTGGTCTCCTCTCCTTGCCCAATGAGACTGGCACACTCCTCTTACGTTTAGTTTCCTATCTAATTGCCTTGACCACCTGAACTCTGATTTTTCTCTCCTTGGCTCAATGGACTGGCACACTCCGCTTATACTTAATTTCCAATCCGGTTGCCCTGTCCATCTGAACTCTGATCTCTTCTCCATGGCTCAGTGAGACTGGCACACTCCACTTATGTTAATTTCCTATATGGTGTGAACAGAAAACTGCCAGCAAGCAGTCGAGTAGGCCCAAACAAAAAGATAACAGTGATGGAAAAACTAAACAGTGTATGAAAATGAAGTTGGATGCTTAACTTGCAACATTTGTAAAATGTAACCCAAATTGGACCAGATATAAAAATAAGAGTGAACAAGGGACCAAACTTGACAGTAGTGTGTTGAATGTAATGTCAAAAGAGCAGGCAATATCAAGGAAAAATGGAATTTTTAACATCATAAAAGTAAAAAAAAATGTTTGTTTCCTACCCTGACCCAGGCGTTGTTCAGTGGGGAGTTGTTCCGTTTCCATGGGTTTGTAGGTTTTCTGTTGTTGAAATCCAGCCTTAATCCTTGGTGGTCTGATAGGATACAGGGGGTTATTTCCATTATCTGTTGAGACTTCCTGTGAAGCCTGCTCTTTTCTGAGAAGAGTTAGAGGGAGGGAATAGATCTAGAGGAGAGAGAAGGTTGAAGGAGGGGAGGGAGGGGAAACCGCAGTCAGGTTGGAATATATGAGAGAAGAATAAAAATTAAAAATTAAACATTTGTGTTTCAAAGTACACTACATAGGAAACGTGTAGCTGCATAAGGAAAGAATTACAAGTGTGTTTTTATAAACAGTTGATCTCCAGAATATATGAATAGTATCCAGCCCAACAACAAAGCAAAAGAGGAAATATTCCAATTGTAGGCAAAGGGGTGGGTAGATGGTCCAAGGTTAGACCCTTATTGCATTCTCTTCCCAGCACCCACATAGCAGCTCACAACTGTAATGCCAGTTCCAGGGTTGTGATGTCCTCTTCTGCCTCAGCAGGCAGCAGGCAGCAGGCAGGCACATGGCATGCATACATACATGCAAGCAAAACCCTCATATACATGAAATAAAAAAGTGGACAGAATTTTAGAGGGAATGAAGATGGGGTGTGGATCTAGGTGGGGTTGGGAGGAATAGGTGTGAATGTCTATCAAAATACACTGTACTTATGTATGCAATTCTCAGAGAATTAATGAAACTTTTTAATGTGGGCATAAGACTTAAATAGACAAAATAAATCTCATAGCTGTCCAAAGCTCAGGAGAAGTCATTCACCATCACTACTTGCTAGTCTTTAAATGCAAATCAATACCAAGCAGCATTTCTTTTTAACCGCTGTAAGAATGTCTATCATAGTCTAAAAGTTAGGAAAATGAACAAAAGGCCTGGATGGGGTGGGGGGAATGGGCACCTCCATTCATTTCCTAGAGAAATTTACTGTGTTTTATCTATTGTGGAAAACAGTTGAAGTTCTGCAGACAACTAAACATGATTACCATATGACCCAGCAATTCTGCTTCTAGGTATATAGGTTTTTTTTTATCTTTTAAAAAGGTGAGTGCAGACATCCAAACATAATTGTGCAGTGGTTGTCCTATATTGACTGTCACCTCAGTTTGTACTTTGAATGCTGCAATGTGATGGTGTTTGTAGGTTGGATAAGGGGATCACTGCCTAGTCTTCCTGCTCTCTTCTGTTCCTCTCTCCTCTCCTCTTCTCCCCTTCACTTTCT